ATCCATACCTATCCCATACCATCCTATCCCATCCAATCCAGTCCAAGTCGCTCCATTCCCAAACCCAATCCCAATACCAGGTTGTTTCTGGCCCGGCTCGGTGTCCAATTGCAACATAATTAAGTAAGCCAAATGGCGTGTCTCGTTTGCTCTCCTGCTTATCTGCTACATTGAGAGAAAAACTAGTAGTAATAGTAATTAAAAAAAAGATATAAATTTGTACATTCCGTACATTTAAATAAAATATAAATAAGAATGTTTTAGTATGATAACAATTTTTATGAAATATATGCTTCGATTCGTTGATATTAGATGTTAACATGTTCGATCTTCACTGGTATTTAATCTCATTAGGAAATATTATTTTTAGAACTTAAAGATTCTGTTTAAAGACATTTTTTTAAAGTAACTGAAGAAAAAATTAAGAACTGTGATCCATTAATATATATTTTGATTGGCAATGATGGATGATTCAGTTTTGAACTCAGTCTTCAAGAATGACTTCATAAAAGTGATTGTTAATCAATTGGTCTGGGAAATCCTTTTTTCCAAAAAACATAGAATTTTTCGATGGAACTCTTAAAAGTGATGTGTCCATGAGTCACATAGTTTATTGCTCTGGTAATGACAATAAGTTTTGTTACAGTGCAGGGGCATGTATGGCTGGAATTTTGTGCGTCATGTTGCGAGCCGACTTTTGGGTTCCAGCTCGTGTGTGGCGCTCACAGTTTTGTTGTCTTTTGTACTGGCTGCAAGACAAAAGCAATGCAAAGACAACGTCACCATAACCCACCCAGTGATACCTCCCCTGGCCCACTATCTGAACGGGTTTACATGTAATCTGTCCGCGTTTCCGTCTGTCCACCCGGCAGGGGGACTGTTTCAGTCTCCACCTCGGAGTCGCTCGCAATCTCCCTCCAGCATTGCATTAACCCAATTTTCAACTTGAGATGCGAAGCTGCGTGATTTGCAAATTACTGCTCAGCTGCCTCAGATGCCAATGCAGTTCCATTGTGACGGTCCTGTCCCAGCTGTCCATCTATCCACGGTCCACTCAGTCCAGAGCTCACTGTCGATTGTCCAATCCACGCTCGGAGTGACTTACTTGTGTTTATATGCAGAAAAAACACTAATTGCATGGCGCAGACAGCAGGCCAGACAATAGGCGTAATTTAGACCGTGAATTGAGATTTACATTTTCATTCAATAAATCTCCTTTATCGTTTAAGGTAGGTATTGCGATAAATTTCAGCTTTAATCTATGAAGTTAACGGGGGCATAAAAATAAATTTGAGCTACTTCTGGTTTTTTTAACCAAGGTATGCCTTTTCAAACATTTGTTTTATTACAATTTATTTATAGAACACTCAATGTTATACTTCAGTGTATCATTCAAATATTTTGCAATTTTTTAAACCTATTTATAGCCTTTATATAGCCTTTATTTTATAAAATATATCTCCCTGCCCCACTCCAAAAATGAATCAATCACTTGTCTGAATTCCATTTCCATATCGAAAGTAAATAACTCTACTGGTAATGTGATACTTGAACAAATATTTTTACCTGACACTCCCAAGGGAAAGTGCTACAAATAAAACCTTTGACCCGAATATCTATTGCCTCAGTTCCGTAGATAACATAATCCAATAAACTACACCCATAAAAGGTGCACAGCCTGATCCGTTTTCAGTGACACTGACCATGACTAATAAGGGAAACGGGGTCAACAAATTCCAAAGGCATCCATAGAGCCAGCTAACAAGTTTTCAATCAAGGCTCTGGTCCGCCCTCCTCTGGGCAAAGAATGAGAAATCCATCTTAATTTAAGCGAATATTGAGATGGCAAGTCAACGATTTGCATTTGTCAAGCTGGCAATTTGTTCAATTGATGTCATATCATGTCGTGTTCTCCACTGATTTTTGATGAGCACGTGCACTGGAGCTTTGGCGGCTCGGCGGTTGCCAAGTAAGGTTGGTTTCCCCCAAACAAATCCCAAGAAAAACTCATTAAACGAGCTTCTGCCTGGGCCAAGGTTTCCCCCAACCTGATGGCATGACTTGGACTTCAGATAAGCCCAGTGCTCGTAACTCCAGCTCCTAAAGACTTCAAGTTATTTTCCTTATACCTTTTTTTAATCTTTTTTTTTATTTTGTTGGGCACGCGTAGGCGTAGCCATTGAGCACAATGCTTCACGGTGCAAAATGTTAACGAATTTTCACAGGCCTCAGCCCCAGCCGCAGCTCCAGCCGCATTCTAAGTGCAGCTTTTCCAAGAGCAGCATATCAAATCATTCGTCACTCGCCCCCGCTGCCTCACTATCCGGCTGCCCTCGGTGCCCCCGCTGCTCTGTTTCCTATCCATAATTATCGCAGAGCCAGCCCCGGACCTGGAGTCGATTGTTGACAAGCAATTTGCAGGCAGCGGACTCGAGCCCTGGCTCCACATCCAGCTGCGAGTGGGCTTCTCTGTCTAAGATTTTCACTCGAAAAAAATATGAATATTGTTTCTATAATGGAATATGTTTATGCCACTAAGGGAGCAGTAAAGGAAACCCAACCCTCCTTCTTTAATGAATATTTCTCCCAGTGCAGTCTGCAACTTCAACTGGGGTCACAAAGTCGGTTTGGCTGGTCGGGGTGCACATAACTCTCTGGGCCGACTCTTGTCTCATTTGATTGTGCATTTGCCAATTGTTGCTTTGGCTTTTATTGCTGCGCCTGATTGAAGTCAAGGCCCTGCTTTGTTTTCGATATTGGAGGCAGGCTTGTTGCGGATACCCGTATCTGGCAGATACTCGAACTGCAAGTGGCATTTAAGCGAATGTCTGCCACGCCCACCGCAGCTCAGCACCCTCCCTGAATCAACACCTTAGCGTGTATTTAGGGAGAGTGTGGAATCGGCCTACGCGGAATCTATAATTAATTCCTTAGCTCGTGTTTCAGATCATTGATCGGTGTCGCAACCGTAATACCAAATCAAAAGTCAGTCAATGGGAGCTGCCCCACCGAAAAACGCAAATAAAAATGAGAGAGAAACAGACATCAATCAAGTGTCAGGCACATGCAACTGCCACTGCCACAGAGGCAAAAACAAATTGGCCAAAACATGCACAGTGCAGACATCGATTGAATTTATCAAACAGAAGCCAAAAACAGTGGTGCAAACAACCCAGCGATAAAGCCAATTCGAAGGGGTTCAAATGATTCGACTTGGCGCATAAAGTTGCAACACGAGGTGGTTAATTAAAAGCGATTTCCTGACCCACTGTGGCCCGGCCAAAGGAGCGGAAAACGGCTTAGCCGCGCACTTATCCGCAAATCGCCGCATATGACGCTGATTAACACGGAGCTTGCAACCGCAATTGAAACGTTGCACCGGCCATTACCCATTAACCGGGTTCGATCGGTGGTGACGGAGGGGCCCCTACAGGGAGAGGAGATACTATATGTATATACCGCTGATATATGCTGATGGCGGCGTGTGAATATCGTTGCGAATCGGACACCAGCCATCCATACGAAAAGTCATTTCCATACACACTCTGTTGCAACTTGCCACTTGTAGCCGAATGTCGGTGCACGTGCAGCGCCTAAATAAATAGAAGCAACAAAATACAGGCAAGGCACCAGCGCCTACGTATTCAGAAATTAAAAAATCTCCACTGTAAAAAAAAAATTGCTAAAAAAAAAATGCTTAATTGCTAAACTGGAGGGGATTTGCCACATTTTCCGAAAACCTTTGCCACACTGCAGCATGACTGATGATGCTAGCTGTGCATTTGCCTTGTGGCAGCATTTTGGCAGTTGCCGCATAAATCAAAAAGTGTCATAATTTGCAACAGCAGCACCAGCACCGACAACAACACCAGCATTACATGAAAATTCCTATCAGACTTCCTCTCAAATTGCGCATACGCAGCGTTTCCCTGGCGCGGCAGATGATGGCCTGTGTTGGATGACAGTGGCATGCCAGTGCCCTTAAGTAGAGGCGCATTAATACCAATTAGAAAACATCAGCACTGGCAATTGAAAACTCGTTAAAGTTTATTACCTTAAAATGACGGCAGAGACACCAACAGCGAAGGCGACACTCGAACGTGGATTGCCTTTTCGAGTCAATGCCACGCCACGCCACAGCACGGTGGTATGGCAGATCTTGGCCAGATCGAAGACAGGCCTCGTATATCTAGCCGAAGATCGATGAAAATCACGGCCTGTTACACTTAAGGAGCAGCTATTGCAATTGTTTCGAGCACAAGTGCTCGCTCATTGATTCGCTGCAATTGACACACGACAATTGAAGCCGGGGGAAGTGCCCGTGGAAATCACGGACAGCAACTACAAGCACTTGGCCTTGAGGCTAATTCCCAGGCACTCGAAAAAATACTATAGTTATAAAAAAAAATTAAAATCAAAAACTAATGCCAGAGCTTATTATCAAAGAAGGGTTTTTATTTTTCATCTCAACTATTACTTTTTTAATATCATCCCAAAATAGTAAAATATAAGCACCATTTTCTTTCCGTGAATCCCTTGGCATTTGGACTGAACTGGTCTCTTGACTGGGCCCAAATTAGCAGCTGCTGGATCCCCGTCATTGAAAGCTCGCCGTGTCATAATATTTAAATAATTTATATGCGCCGCGATAAGCCACAGCAGACCTGGCATGAAGATCTCAGGCCAAAGGTAAAGCCAGTCCCGGCTTTTGATTTTATTTAATTTATGGCTGCAACAACCTTGAACTGCTGGGCACAGACTCTGATAAATGCAATCGGACACGCCCCACCCAAATGCCGCTGAAAGATCGCCGGACTATCCAGCGTCATCTTCAGCCATCTATCTATCCTCGGGGTGTGACCCAAAACCATAATTCTCTCCGATAGCTCAATGAACTGAACCGAGTGCAAGGTCAATTCTGATATATCCCATCAGAGGTCTTAGTTTAATAGTCAATTTGAGATAAGATTAAGGTATAAAGAGTTGATAGACTATCTTACCTTTCCATTTCCTTGGGATCTGTGGGATGACCTCGGCCGATGGTGTTCGTCTCGAAGGGATCCTCTGTGGTGAAGGTGGACACGGGTGCCGGAGTGGTGGTGGTGTAGACATATCCTCTTCTGGCCGGAACCAGAGGCGGGATAGTGCCCATGCTGCTGCCGAAATTGGGGTTCGCCGACCGCCTGTTCAGGTTGGGAGGAGGTGCCATGGTGGTGGTGACTGAGGGCACGAAGGCGTAGCCCCTACCCCGCTCTCGCACGCCGATGAACTCCACATCCTGGGTGTTGTCCTGACCCTTGCCAGATCGCGAGGAGGAGGGAACAGGCGGAGGTGGGGGCCCATAGGTGTTCGTCAAAACATTGTAGGTGTTGTAGTCCCATTCGGAGTTGGGTCTGGTTTGGTGAAGGCGTCGCGTTTGGACTCTGTTGTAGGGATTGTAGGGATGGACTCGCCTAAGTCTGGTGACCTCCTGCATGGACATCCCCGGCAAGAGCTCCACATCCGATTTCGGCTGATTCTGGCCGACTGGTTGAAGCCTCCGCTGCTGTCTTTGGTGGGTTGGCGAGCCGCCTTGGTGCCGCTGCCGGTGATTGTGGCCCCGATGGAGATGCGTCCTGTTTTGGCCAAAACTGGTGCTGTTGATGTTCTGTACACCTGATGCCGCCGTTCCCAGCAGCAGGATTGTGCAGCAGAGCAGCACTAATGAGCTGAATCCAATCATTTCTGGCATTAATGATGATGTCCCGCTATCTCAATTCGCTTGGAGGAACTGCAAGTAAAAATAAACAGAATAATATTCCGACTTTATTAAGAGCTGAACTTGTTTCTCCAGTGCTGGCCCCCCCTCCCAGTACATTCACTTTCGTTCTCTGTCAAATTCCTAGGCATTTTTGCACGCCTGGCTTAATGTAAGCAAAAACACGGATCCGCCAACGGATCCACCTCATTACGGATTCCTTTGTCTGGCCAAGCGCCGACCTGTCTGTCCATCATCGCCGGTAATTGAAAGGTAGCATAAATGTATTAACAAGAATCTAGTCAGAGTGGCAGGATCACCCCGATCCCACAGATACACTCTACAGGGGAACTTTTTTACGCTTTTTATGCAAATATTACACTACTTACTGTCCAAATGCTGTCATAATTTGTGCCCTCTTTTAAAGTTTAAGGAAGTAGTATTTTGAATGGGGTTTCAGGTATACCCTTTTACCTTTCAGAAGTGATCGCTTTTGGGTTTCATGATGGGGCCAACGGTTTTCATGGTCGAGTGGTCAGCACTTAAGGTTCCAAGTTCGGTTTGGGTTCTCGAGTCAGAGACAAAGGCAATTTGTTCAACCGAACCGAACGGAACCGGTGATGACGATGCCTGTGATTATTATTCCTGCTCGTTGTTGTTCTGGCTGATAAATCACACGTTAAACAAAACGAGTAAAAATTGCAAGTAAAAATGCGTTAACAGTTAACCGGCAGGAGATGCCAAAAGTTGAAGCAAAGTGGAGTGAACCGAAGCCGGAAGCCAAAAGTGCATCAATTTTCGCTTTGTTCCACTCATTTTTCAAAATTTCACGCACTGCGTGTTCGTCTGGGGCTGTTGAGGATCAGGGGCATCATTTGTCAGAACGCACCACCAAAAAAAAAAGTATGCCCGCACCACCCGCCGACCCACCAAGAAAAAGCAATTATTGCAATTATTGCTCAGTGAGCTTATTAATATTCATTGCTTCAACTTGAATTTATGATTCCACCCGCCCTGATCATTAAAGTGGATCTAACACATGTTCTTATGGTAAAATTTAAAAAAAAAAATGGTGCACTGAAAAAAACGACTAGTTCTGTCTCAAGTTGAAAGACAAACATAGAAAGTAATTTTCCGCAGTGTGAATACAATTGAATACTCAATCGAATTTTTTATAGGCTTCACTGACAGCAGTCTCGAGTCGTCATTAAAATTTTGTGCGCTAATTAAAAAGCCCCAGCAAGAGATTGGGAAACGCTAATCAAGTATGTAAGTAGCAAAGGGAAATGTGGCAAGTTCGGCCCTTTCTGGCCTGCATTTCGTACGAATGGTCCCAGAGAAATGAGGATCCATCAGGTGCGGTCTTAAGCCGCTTAGTAAGTGAAACCCTGGGATCCCCAGACTCAAAGCCCTCCTGGGCACGACTGCCACTCAAATGACTGTCAAATGTCCCAGTATCCAGACCGGAATACAGGCCCAACCCCCAATCCCATGCCAGTTGTCATAACTCTGCAAGAGTTCCGAGAAATGCAAAAACCGAAAAATGTTAAAAATGGTAAAAAGGTTTTTCGGGCGCCGCCAATAAACTTAATCGAGACTGCAGACACACCGAGTCACAAATGAATAAAATAAGACAAAAACAACCGGTGGAGAGATGAAGAAATACAGTCGTTAGAGAAAAACAACTTGATTCCATTGAAATCTAAGCCGGGCAACTGCTTCAAAGTCGCGTTGACAACTCGCCTTGACCTTGCCGGGGATTGCCGAAAACGGTCAGTCCGGAGATAAATCAACTCCGAAGCGGCCAACTGCAAAGGCATTTGTTGCTTTGTCTGGATTTGAAGGTGGAGATTCAGATATCCATCCACAGATTCGTACGGAAAGCCAGCCCACAGCCGATCGGCGGCTGGATTTTGATATATGTTTAATTAATAGCCGGCATTGCCTCAAGAATCAAATATTAATCATTTTTTTCGGGGCTCTACGGTTGCAGTTTCTCAGTTTTAGCTGGAATTCGTGCAGGGTCGGCCATAAATTTTCTAGCAGCCCCACCGCAGAGCATCCCAGAGTTTGGGTCTAGAAATTAGTGTGTGTTAAGTGTTATTGATTCGTTTTCCCAGCACATAAATCACTAGCTAAGCACTGTTTGCCGGCGAAATAGGCTTGGATACCATCGAGGAAGACTCTCCCTCGATGAGGAAAAGTGTCAACTTTATTTTTGTCACCCTGACAAGACACGGATTCTGTGGGTGTATCTGTAGCTCGGCATCTTTGCATCCATGAGATCTGACCCAGACATGAGCTATGGCCAATGAATCACGGGCGATGCGTAAAACAGACGCTATATATACTTCAGGAAACTAGGAAAGATGACGGGAGTACAGTGAGGTCTATGAATGAGATAATTAAAAATATTCTGAACCATTTACATTCTAATAAAGTGAGTCAGAGTATAAACTAAAACTAATTGTATCAGATATATTTTGGGGGAAAAATATATATTTTTAAAAATCCCTGTCCTCTATATGGAGCTACTTCCGTTTTCATGCTCATGTTATTTTTTTATGTGACATGTTTAGTTTGTTGCTAAGAAATGTTAAGCAGAACTATATTTTTCCAACATCTTGCTCGCTTTTTCATTAATCATTTCAGAGAACTTGACTAAAATTGCAGCTATATTACCTAATTATCAGAAACATTTTCGAAAATTCCTACCAAACTCACTTTATTCTTTGTTTACTCTTGTTAAATAATGTGTAAATTGATCATCTGCCGGTGCATTTTCGGAATTTAATTTAAAGTAAGAACTTCGCCTCGGACCTCTCCGACTGCCGGCCATTTAAATGTTAATTAAATACCTCTCACCCTCCATATAGTATTCTCCGGCTCATTTTTTATTTTTTTGTTTTTTGTGCAATTCCAAACAGCTGCCAGTTTAGCATGCGTTTTTATTTATGTTTTGTGTAATCGGGGCCGCTCCTCAAGTTCTTATAAAGAGATAAACTAAAAGCTTAACGCCGCCTGCCGAGGAGATCCCCCCAACATTTGAGAATTTGTGTGCGTTTGGCAACTTGCCCCTCGGCAACAGCATTTTTTATGGCCGCCCCGAGGAAAATTCAAATTTGTGGCCATTGCCTGTGGCAAACGCTTTTCAGCGCTGCTTTCATTAACATTATATCGACAGCAGAGATGGGCTGCAAAACGCCTCAGATCTTGGGGGAATCCCAGCCAGAAGACTTCTGTTGGCAAGACATTTAAGGCATTACATTTCCTATCGCACCCCCAGTGGGTGGAAAATGGAGAAAGTGCAGGGGGGATTATGGAAAAACTACTAACTACAAATCAAAATTGTTATATTTTTAAAGCTACTCTGGGGTTCAATAGCCTGATCGGCTTGGAGATTGAACTCTTGGGCTTAAGTGCTTCTTACAAAGTATTGCGATTTCTAGAGGGATGTGTATGATTTTGTTCCTCGTACTCTTTTATTTTAAAATTTAATTAAAATCTTACTTTAACCTTTTAAAAAGAAACCTTTTTAAGCCATTTAAACATAACACAATTTTTTAAGTTTAGTTAAAAGGGGTGCTAAAGCTTAGTAACTCCCAAAATCTCCCAATTTATAGCTGAATGATTTTTTGAAATATACTACTGAAAAATATTCTTTGAGAATATCTTTTTTAAAAATCTTAGATATTTATGGTAGTTCTTAGTAACTCAATCCAAGAATCTTGTTTACTGTCTCCCCTTCTAAATATACTCCTACCGCCCAGCAGTGCCCCAATTATTTTTCGCCTTGCTGGGGTTCAACAACCGATCGTTTCGAGGTATTATCGAATGTATCTTATCTGACGGATTGCCAAATATTTGCCTCATGCTCCGGACTGCCCTGACACGCGGGATGGGAGGAGGGATGGGAGGAGGAGTTCAACATTTCATTCATTCCTACGGGGCGCTTTGTTTATTGTTCTTGTTGACGGTTGCGTCTTCGTTTTCCCACGACAGACCGACAGCTCTGATGGGCTGAAAAATCACGGCCAGCCAGGCTGCCATCCAGCCCGCCAGACAGCCAAATGGTTAATAGTGTGTCATAGACCGGGTATTTGATAGTATATTTCACATGCTGTTTTATTTTGTGTGTTGATATTGTGCCGCTGTCTTTAATATGCAAAATCATGACACATTTTTGTCCAGCATTTGTATCTCGTTTACTTTTGACGTCTCTTTTCTTTTCCGACTTTTTTTATATTTTTGTGGATTTTTTAATGTTTTTATTTTTTAACAAGATCAACAAACTGGCTGTGAGTGGGGCCATGGGTCGTTCGATCGCATTTTTTGTTTACACTTTACTTTCAAGTCCAATTAAAGGAATGCTGCTTGAACGCTTTGTTAGTGCGTTTCCTTCCTAACAAACTCCGAGAGATGAAAAGGGAAACTATGCAATATGTTCAACATCGACAGTTTGACATTTAAAAAAAAAAAAAGGCAAACACCAGCCCCCAAAATGCACTGAGATTAAAGTACCAAGCCAGGTAAAGGTTTTTTGTTGAAAATATGGTAAAAATAGCAGACTTCTCTCAGTGTCGAAAAAAAACCTACAAGTTCAAGCCGAAATACGAAAACTCATTTCAATAACAATTGCAAAAGCCCAAAAAAGGTAAAAAGGAAAATACCTCCAAGAGCTGCAAGACCTGCAACAGTAAAGCCCAATTTGCTGGCATGTCCAGTCTTTTGCTAATTGCTTTGCAGCTGCCAGGGGGCGTCTGGGCAGGGGCCACGCCTCCACATGCCCCAAACTCTCATAGCTCATGGCTCATGGTGACCCGTGACTTTGTTGCTGTTTCGGTTTCGGTTACTGTTCCTGGACTAGGCCAGACAAAAGACATAAGCCCCGTTACCGTTAGCTGCGTAATTTATGCAAATGACTTTGGCTAATTAGCAAAGCGCAGGAAAAAGCAAGAAATACATAGACATGGACATGGACATGTGCCACCACCCCCTACCGCCGCTGACGTTTTCCATAATAATAATATTTGTTAAAAGATTATGATATGCAGGAAGGCACGATCGCATTTGGACGAATCGTGCCCAAGACGACGATTTTTGATTGATGATTGAAAATGCAGAATGCATCGCCGCAAACTTACATAATTGTTGCTGTGATAACCCCGAACCGATCACCGTATTAATTAAATTATTCAAATTTATTGAATATTCAGCTTTTGTCACACCATTTTAAACAAATTTGTATGGGCGATTACATTAGCATAGGCCCTTAAACTGTCAAATGGATGAAGGGAGGCTAAGATGGTGAGACCTTTATCTTAACTTCAGAATACAGCCAGCTCAAATATTATCAAAATGAAAAATATTTACATGCATAAATTATATATGAAAGAACAACATACTAATTGAAAAACATTGTCCAGCGAATTAAGTTCTCACACTAATTAATTCAAAGACCGTTTATAGAATCATTGGACAGTAACTGCTAATAACCCAAGACAGCTGAGGTAGACGCGAGTCGGTTAGCCACTCCATAAAATGCAAATTACGTCCACAAGTGACATGAAACTCCTAGACAGGATTTACCCCAACTACTGGAAAAATGAAATCAAACAGCGGCTAGCCACTAGGTATGCCGATTTTGAGCAAGATTAATGCACTAGGAAATGTCGCACGTCGCTTGACACACATTCAATTCATAAATAATTGCAATTAATTTAATATATTTGCATACGACTTACACACGACGAACAAATTCCAAATGGCCCGCGAAAACCCTGGGATGCCCTGCTATTGTGCGATAATCGTGGCCAGATTAATTTTAAAGATGCCTCAGACACACAAATAAATCAAAACACAATTATGTCAAATTTGCAATCACAAACCATAAATTGAATTGAGTTTTTGCGCTGACATTAAGCAGATACGCGGCATTTGGCTTTTTCAATAATAAATTATATGCAAAACCGTGAATGGGGCTTTTAAAATATATTTATAAACACATACGGAGGAGTCTTTTTCCTCGTCAATTGTGATTTTCTCTCGTAGTCGATTGTTGTTGCGTTAGCCGCTTCCGTATGCCAGAACCGATTCGGTTTTCGAATTCAAAAATTTATTTTCTGACGCGGCGGAGCTAACCGTGAACCAAACCGATCGCTTAGAGTTCCCGAGACGAACTGAAAATCCCCAGTTCCCAGCCGAAACCGAAAGTCCAGTTACCGATCGGCGACGCGACCAGTGCAGCCACCTCGTGGGGCTTCAAAATCTCTATAAATGGTGTCGCAGTATAAGGGAAATCAATGCTTTATTAATTTATCAATAAATGGAAATATTTTCGATCATTTTTAGGTGTTAATAGATCTTTGTTTTATTTTTCCGGAACCATGTTTCAAAATTATGGAAGAATCGTATAAAATATAAGTCATAACATAGGTATGAATATTTTTTCTTGTTTAAGAATTTTTGAATGTCTCATGCCAGTGACTTAAATATATTTTTAAAATCTTGTATAAATAAAATATGTAATAGTGTAAAATTATATTAGTAATTTTGTTTATGATGTTAGACTATTTAGATAAAATTTTTTTTGTTACCAAATTAGATATATTTAATTTATGTTTAAGGATTTGTATACTCCAAAAATTCCAAGCACTTTAAAAAGGGTCAATACTTATTGACACCTCAAGTTTTTTTTTTCACAAATTAGACTGTACTCAAAAATATAATTTATGGCATGTTTTAAACAAACTAACAACATAAAAAGCTACTGAATTTTTAAAGACTCACTAAAGAAGCTATGCTATTTCTGAAATATTTCTGATCAAATTCTTTAGTAGGTTTTTTAAAAATTATATTTGGTTATTTGTAATTACGTTTAATTTAAAAAAAAAAAATCATGTATTTGTTATTCTTAAATATTATAAATTATAAGATAAACATTTTTATTTATTAAATAAATATTTAGCTTTAAAGACTCAAATGATCATCACTATCGGACCAGTTGAAGCCCATGTTCGGTGCACATTCGCTGGTTCGTTCATACAAAATTGGGCTGGCGGAGAACGAGTTTGTTCGATGCAACTGATCGGCGGGACGATTCTTCAGGCGGAAGAATTCGAAGGTGGGCGGAAGAGCGGCTGTGGGGGAGTGGCTGGCCTGCCCTCGGCTGGTCGTTGGCTGATCTTTTCTTCAATGCGTTACAGCTGTTTTGGTTACACGTTAATATGTACACTGCGCCCCCGCTATATACTCCAGTGCCCTCAGCAGCTCTTCTCTTTTCTTAACCTTATCCAAACTATTCGGAGTTTGCGGTTTATGCTTTTTATGGTCTATGGTGTGTTTGTTGTTCCTGGTGTTACTACTGCTGCTGCTGCTTTTGTTGCTTCTTCTCCGGATGGTGGCAAGTTGTTAAGTTAAATATTTACCCGCTGCCGCCGGAGCAGGAGCCGGGGTAGCCAGTTTTAGTGCACGCCTCGCTGATCTTTCGCAGGGAGAATCTGAATCCGAATCCGAATCCAAAAGCGAAGAACTTGTTTGCAGCCCTTCTGACCATATCGGGTGCTGGATCTGTCGTTGTCATCATAAGAGTGCTACTGTCAACTACACAATGGAAAATATGAGTCAATAAAAAAGCCATCGTTTTTTTAAGGAAGTCCTGGGATATACAAGCTATATTTTTAATGTATTTATTTTATAATTACATTTAATTTTTTCCTAAATTTTCTAAATTTCATTTTTTTATCCTTCCCCAAATGGGTCTCATAAATAAATTCTCATACATTAGCCCAAAACTGAAAAATTATAGAGAATCTAATAGTAATAAAGTAAATATTTTCCTTAGCTAATGATTAAAATATTTTTATTTATTCACTAAATGGCAACCTTAAACAAATGAATTTATATCCAATATTTAAGGACAATTGGTTACGCTGATTTTGAGATGTCATGGTTCCCGAAAAAGGTTTTTATATATAATATTTTCCCTCCATGTTTTCTTCTTTGTTTAAGTATAAAGTCATAAGTGGAATATAGCATCCGTTGAATAAGCTTTTTCCTTTTTTCCCAGTGCATTGCCATGTACTATTAGGTTTTTGCCACTGAAAAGGCTGCCCACTGTCTTCTAAACGCGACTCTGAGCACATTGGACATGTCAAAGGGATTTCCTACTGCTCTGTGAAACGTCCTCCGACATTCTGCGGCCACTGGCCAGTATTCGGAATCCCATAAACTGGTTGCACATTCCCAGGCTGGCAGAATGGTCATAAATCGAATAATGTGCGAGGCATTGACAGTTCGCTTAGCTGTACAAAGGTTCAATCGGATCTTTTTTGTATTCATTTTCGATTCTTGGGTTTCCTCGCCACGATGTATCACAATTTATTGGGCTATTAGTTGCCACTTGAGTGGGGATCGCTGGAGACCGTGGGGATCATGGGGTCCGTGGGGAACACCCACGCCGCGACTCCAAATCGACTTCAAATAAAGCATAAAAGCTGATAACAAAGCCTGGAACCCCGCTCGGACAATTAACTGATAACAATTCATTAGCATTTCGTGTGGGTCGCCCATCGACATCGCCGTCATCATCATTTTCATCATCATTACCATCATCATCTCGGTTGCAGCTGGTCTGCATCAGAGTCTTTTCATTGAGTGTTTAGGTAATGACAGTCGTTTGATCAAAAATCTAAGCCCTAAATGAATCAGGTGGGTGTAGGCATGGAATTGATTTTTCCACCAACAATACGAAACGATTCGGAGAAGTATTGATATTGAAATCATAAATTTAAAATAAACAAAAGTCAAAAACTACCTAAGTAGATTATATTTTAATGAAGGAGTGATTTCAAATATGGGTTCTGTTACTTTTAATACTTTTGATTTCATCTATCTTGGTATATCACAATTTTATGAACTACATAGCTCTTAAAATACCTATAAAACTTGACTTTTACGATGGAAATAATATAAAAACTATACAAGACTATAAGATAAATTTTACGAAATCAGTTATTTTTTATAGTTTTAATAATTTAATTTAAAATATCTCAGCTCAAAAAGCACAAAAACTGGCGTCATTTTGATGGTATCTTTGGTGTGTCAGCACATTTGTTTGATTCTTGGCCAAAAAAACAAGAATCGTAATTTTTGGCAGGCCTTGTCTGACACGGCATTATCCATGCCTTGCATCTGGGTTTCTCGATTTGAATTGGGATATGTATTTCGGGTTCGGAATCGGGTTGGGTCGCTTGACCAGCAATCGTGCGCACGCGCTGTGCCTCAATTTGGGGCAAAATGCAATGTCATGCAAAGGGGCAACTTGGAGGAATTTGGCTTGCCGCATGGCCGAGACATGGCCATAAATTCAATGCGAATGTGTCAAGCGTTTGGCAATTTTTCCAACAAATTCACTGAAATGTTCTTTTGACACTGTTAGCACCACAGCCCCCGCAACGCCTGCTCCCTGCTATCCCCCAGGTCTTTCTTGCCATTCCCATAATTTATATGATCACGCTTTTCCGAGACGAGACGAGACCCGACGAGAGTTGACGGAAGCGCACGAATTTGCCATTGCAAATTGCGAATCGGTAGACAAAGCTAAAATCACTGGAAAGCTGGCAAACTTGAAATAGTAAAATGATGAGCCCGATCGATCGGAGATCAGCAACCTTGGGGCCTAATTAAGCGGCAACTTCCAGGTTGTTAAGGATAAGCAGCTTCTGTTGATGAGCTATTGAATCAATTTAGCATTTTGATAATTAAATACTCACTGATGCAGTGTCCATAATTTTTCTAGATAAGTCTTATGCCATCTGCCGGTAAAAAATATTTTATACAAAATTTCTGGTTAACAAACACAGCTTGAACTTAACACTCAATTTGGTAGAAAAAAACATCAGTGGAAGGTGTACACAAAACACTTACACATTTGTTGTTATCAAAATTTTCTTCCGGACACGGAAACAAAATCCGTCAAAGACCAGAGCCGACCATGTATCCTTTCGCATTTTGGAGGAGCGAGGTCAAGAAACATCATCCCGATCAGGTATCGCCTATCTGGAAGGATTTGAATGCAACATTTGTGGCGTAAGATTGTATTTTAGAGAGATGTGGAAAAGTAGAGTTTTTAATATACATTTGGGCAGTGTCCTGAGCTGGAGCTGGCTTATATATTTACTGGCGGGTCTGGTCATCCTGGTGTGCGCATATTTTGCTTACTGTGAACGCTGTCGGAGAACAGAGACGGTGCGACGCCGACGGGTGATTCAGCGTGCCCAGGAGCGGTAAGTTAATTCATTTATAGAAAAATTCAAAATATACAGGTTAAAACTCGCAATGTCTTGCCAGCCCTCCACAAAAGCGACGTCCTAATGCAGCTTACCGGGATCATCAAATCTATCGCCACATCATTTTGAGTGTCGCAAAGTACATGAAGAACCCGGAGGGCATCCGTCCATTTATCGATCACATGGACCAGCTATATCCACTGAGACATGCCCTGGCCGATCAGCAGCAGGTGGCTGAGCTCTCATTGAACGTGAATGATGCGGAGCCGAGTGCTGGTGAGGATTGAGTTCAGGACTGCAAGCGAAATTTCTGTAGAGTATACCAACCTTTTGGAACACATTCTAAAAAATTTCGCAACACCAATAAAGTTTTCATGAGAGTTAAATAATGTTATGAGTATTAAATGCGTAATATTAAAATTTCAAAGTAATGTCACGCTAATAGTTACATTTTCTAGGTTTTATTTTTCGAAAAATAACTATTTAAATAGTACAATGAGGGTGTTAGGAATTATACTTATGTTTGGTGAGCTTAGAATCTTGAATGAGGGCCAACATTATATTTCTTAATATCATAGGAGCTATCTCCATATCGGACTCCCAATATATGTGTAAAAAAACTATTCCTGGGATTCGAGATCCCCACTGCGGCCTCGGAAACAAATGTCATTTTAATGGATTAAATCAACATGCCATCGGATTCGAGGCATGTAGGCGAAGGGTACTCGGACTTCCAGGTTTGATAAATCCAACTCGGTCAAAATAAATGACCTCAATGTTTAATTTGTTGACAGAATTTTTAAAGGTAGTACGCGGATTGTGCCCCAAGGGCGACAAACCCCCTTGCCCAAGACTCTCTAAAAGACCACCGAGAGGAAAACGATAAAGATAACTACAAATTTTGTATTATATTTAAAAGTATGCTTTTATAAAGAGATCAGTAATATAAATATAATCAAAATAAATTTAAAAGTTATTTAATGATTTACGTAAATAATTTGAATGTTTTTTATTTTATTGTTTGAACAAATATTCAATTAGATTTATACACAAATTCTGAATTCTTCATTCCACTTAAGGCACCTTATTTAAATTTCACGGCAAATTTTATTATTATCGATATAAACTTACATTTCACAGAAAAAGAAATCATTCTCCACACACAGTGAGTTCCACACAGTGTCATGCGGAAACTTGCGATTCTATTTTTAATTGGTGAGTTTGAGAAGTTAATTTGAGGACTAAACCCATATCCACTGATATCATAGCTCTCTCCATATCCGGAGGCAGACTGCAATCTGCGTGTAAAAAGGCGGTTCCAAGCGTTCGGGATCCCCACTGCGGCCTGGGTAACAAATGTCACTTCAACGGCTTCAACAAGTGGGTGATCGAATTCGAATCATGCAGGCGAAAGGAACAAGAACTCCCAGGTTAGATAAGTTTGATTTCAAATTTTTCAAGCCCCTAAAGGTTAATTTATCGACAGACTTTATAAAGGTTATACGCGGAATGTGTCCCAAAGGCGATAAACCACCGTGCCCGTCTGGGTGATAAGCTCATACGCAATGGATAAAATTTATTTTTAAACAAACCAAGCATTTTATTGAAATTTTTCTTTTATAATGCCCCCATTTTAAAATAAATAAAATTGGTATTGAGTTTAAAAAATAAGTATTGAAAACCCAATCGTTTCTTTGAAAGCTCTCGTTAGGAAATCATAAGTATAACTAAAACACCCTTTAAAAGCTTAAGCCATACTAATAAACTTTTTTCCTTATTGGATTTACCAGAAAAATAGATTTATTTTTTTAACATTATTAATCGAAACCAATTTAAATTTCACAGCAATTTTTACGCTAAAAACTAAAAACAGACATTGCACAGAAAAACAAACCATTCGCCAACCAATAGTGCCATGTGGACTCTTGGCATTCTATTCCTTATTGGTGAGTTAAAAAAGATAAATTGAGGACTATACTCATATCTCCCAGCATCATAGCCATTTCCATATCTGGAGTCAGGTTGAAAACTAAATGTAATATGCCGATTCCACGACTTCTAGATCCCCACTGCGGCATCGGAAACAAATGTAACTATAGAGGCATTAATAAGTGGGACGTCAAGCGCGAGTCATGCGTGCGAAAGGAACTTGGACTCCGAGGTTAACAAGTTCGACTTCAAAGTTTACAAATACCAAAAATTTAATCTATTTACAGACTTTATAAAGATAACACGTGGATCGTGCCCCAAAGGCGACAAGCCCCCGTGCCCCCCGTGACAAACATGTAATATTATGTAATTAATGTTAAAATTATGCTTTAATAAAATGGATTACGAATTTGCTCATTGAAGTGTATTAAACTTATCAAGGAAAGCTAACTGCGGGCGGTGGCGAAGTTTATATAGCCTTGCAGTTATGATCGGATCAGCAAAATGTAACAAAGTAAACGACGTTTGCTTAGAAACAGAAAGACGGACATGAGCATATCGTCTTAGGAGGTGATCCTGATGAAAAATATATGTACTTTATGCGGTCAGAGATGTCTTCTTCACTTGCGTTGTACACTTATGACCAAAATTATAATACCCTCTGCAAGGGTATAAATATAACCATACAAAATTTTTCTGTTTTAAATATTTAAAAAAAATCAAATATTGGTAACCTTATTGGTCTTTGGGAACTCTTGTTGAGAATAAATAAATAAAACTAACATTAAAATATAATACCTTATGCAGAAAACCTTAATGCATGCTTTGGGGAGGATTTTTTTTTCTTACTAAGGTTTATCGGAAGATTAGATTTATTGCCTTAATTTTATTAAGCGAAACCTATTTAAATTTCACACCAAATTTTGTCTTATACGCTATAAACTAAAAGCTCACATTTCACAGCAATTCCGAAGTATTCGAGTAACGCCATGTGGATTCTTGGCATCATATTAATGATTGGTGAGTTTATAAAGCTAATTCAAAGACTAAACTGACATCTCCAAGCATCATAGCTCTTTACGTACCCACTCTCAGGGGAGCTAGGTGCAAAGGAATGATTCCTCTGGTTCGGGATCCCCACTGCGGCTTTTCCCACAAATGTAACAGCAATGGCATTAACAAATCAAATACGAATACAATGGCCATCAAATACGAGTCATGTAGGAAAAAGGAACTCGGAGTCCAAGGTATTTTTTAAGTTCAATTACAAACATTAAATCTCTCAAAACGAAATTTTTTGACAGACTTTATAAAAGTTATGCGTGGAATGTGTCCCAAAGGCGACAAACCACCGTGCCCAAAAATGATAAAAGCTTAATATGCCTAATGAAATATATTGCACTTTATTTTAATTAACCTGAACTAAAAATAAATAAAACTTTAAGTTTTTTATAAAGTATATAAAACTGATTTAAGAAATAAAATATCAACATAAGCATATTTTATGAGATTCCGCAGTTAAAAATATATTTCGGTTTCGGTTTTAGAAGTACTGCTTTTACTCGAATACCTTAATACGGATGAACTTGTAATGATAATAAAACTAATAAGCCGTCCGTATCAGGTAAGCCGAAACGCCTCCGGGAACTAATTATATTTAACTTAAAATACTGAATTCTTTTTAGAATTCAGAATTTAGAACTGCAGAATTTTTAAAAATAGTAAAGGATGTGCCTTTATTTTGGTCTTCCAAAATTATGGTTTTGTAATAAATAAATAGAAAAGATAATAGATATAAGAAATTAAGTTTTAAACAAATGGCTTTGCCGCTGAGATTGCGTATACGACCTGTTGTCCTGCTGTTCGTGTTCTAAAACTAGTTCTTTGTATATTTCTCTTGTCTTGCTAAACTGACAAAGGACTAGCTTACGAACTGTCCAACTAAATGGTATTTTTCAAATTAAATGGCATTCCAAAAACATAAAATAATTCGTTTTACTTAAATATTAGAAATAGGTAAGAGCGACTGCGGTACATGCGCAGTGCGCGGATAGCCACTCATGGCGGCGCCTAAAAATATGCAGTGCTATTTTTACCTGCCGCGATTATAAACAAACGCCATGTGCGTTAGGAAGCTTTCAGCTGGTTGGAAAGCTTAGCATGAAAGTAGGCGAAAGCTCCTGCTCTCTTGGCGGAAACAGCCTTTCCAGCTCTTAGCCGCCTCTCTTAGCACTTCCAGCTGATGGCGGGCGCCTTTCTCTTGGCCAATTCCTAGGGGCGACCACGGCTCGATGGGCTGCGTTTGGTTGCAGAAAGCGCCTCTCTTGGCGGAAACAGACTTTCCAGCTCTTAGGCATCTCTCTTAGCCCTTCCAGCTGAAAGTGGTCGAGTTTTTCTTGGCCAAGTTCTCGGGGCGTTCCACTGTTGCCAGTTAGACAGCGAGCGCGTCGCACCTACGCACGCAACGAAAAGTTTGATAGATTCAGCGGCAGCAGCGCGTTCAGTGGTTGTTGTTGTTGGAAACGGTGGAAACACACCCACACAAACACAGACACACACCCGCATCCCATTCAAACACACCCATACATTGAGAAACACACGCGGCCAGCAAACACAATTTTCCGCTGGCCAAGGAAAAAAGTTTGTTTAACCTTTTTGTTTCATTTTGGGCCGAAAAGAAACAATTCTGAGACATTGGCCAACTCAGATACATAGAAGAGTGCCTGCAATTAAACCGTGCATATTATGGGGCTAGACACTAATTGAAAAATCAAGGCACACACCTGCGCACATGTCTGTGAGTGAGAGTGTCCTGCTGCCTGTTGTGTATCTGTGTGAGTGCGCCTGCCGATGTATGTGTGTTGAAGGCTGAAGCAGCAGCAGAAGCAGCAGCAGCCACGGAAAAGCCAACAAGTAAACCGAGAAATAAAAGTTGCATGTGTCCCGAAAATTTTTTCGTCAGGCCAATGAAAACATTGGAAAATCGTCAGCTCAGTGTCGGTGAGCGCGTGTGTTTGTGGAAAGCCATGAAAATTGTTTAGCCACAAAAGTTAAAAACAAACTGGCTCTAAATCATAAAAAAGGCCTCAAAGTCGCCTAATTCCCCTTCAAAATTATCTTATCAAAGTCAAGAATAATTTACCATTAGTAATTTACCATAGATGCATGCATTAAAATATTATTTGATCGATTTATTAGCCACAAATAGTGAAGACAGTCGGGGCGGCTTGCTTTTGGTTGGATATGTATCTGAGCCCAGTCGAACCCCCATTTATCTAGATATTTTGAACCTCTTGCCTGTTGCAGCCGAGGAAGGACAAGCAAACAAAGTGATAAAGACAAAGTGTTCATGATAAAATGCAAAAACAAATATATTCTTAAATATACAAACGCTAAAGGTACTAAATAATTTAAAGATCAACTGGAAATCCGAGCAATGTCACGGCACCTGCCCCGAAACAAGGATGTCCCCTCTAAGGTGAGTTCACTTTAATATGGAGCATCAATCGAGCTTTGTTCCAGACGCATCCTACCTCAACATGAAAAAAATATGGCGAAGAGCAAATCAAAACATAAACAACCCCAAAAAGAGCGAAACACAAGAAATACAGCTTAAAGGGAAAGTCAGATGGGGCACTGAAAGAAAACTGAGTTGGTAAAGGGAGTTGGGTTAAAGATGGATTAAAAGTAAGGGTTTTTAGAGTTTTAATTGAAATATAAACATAAATTTGATAATCTTTGGTTTTAAGTCAAAATGTAAATAAAACCTTTAATGAGTCTTATTTTATTCTAAAATAATTGAACTTATCTGTAAATAAGAACTATTAAAAACCTAATTAAGGTATTCAGGACTAATAGGGTGGTAAAAATGGAACTCAGGGCTGAATAAAGATGCTAAAATGGTATACAGGTATACATTATACAGGTTTAAAATTATTATATAATATTAAAATCATTTAAATTATTGCTATGAAAGATTTGATAAATATTTCCAAAAACCTAATAAATATTAATGTTCAAGCACTTAGTTTACTTTAGTAAAACGAAACTTAGTAACCGTAAAAATAAGTTTACTAAGTTTATTAAACTAAGTTGCTATATAGTTATATATGTAGTTATAATATTAAATATGAAAAATATCTATAAAATACTAGAAACATTTTATAAATATTTCATTAATATTTTAAAATATATTTAATTCCATACCACACCTACCTAATTAGACTTAGTCCTTATATTTCGCATCTGTATTTCTTTCTGTGCACTTTTCGCCACTCTTCACTAAACGGAAATGTCGAGCTGCTCTTCTCTTCTCCTCTATTCTCTGCTGATGTAGAGATACGAAAATAGGCAAAAGTCGAGAAAAAAAATCAACGAATTTGGTTTGAAAAGCTCAATGCAAAGAACGCCAGCAGCCTCGGGGGATTAGCCAAAGCCAAAGACTTTGCGCAAATACTGAAAAGCTCGAGCTCAGCGCATCATTTTCCACGCAAATTTCGTTTGCGAAAATTTCAATTTATGTGTAGCATACAGGATTTGCAGGATATGTGGTGTCGCCTGCCTGCACACATGCATACATCAGCCATGATTATGTGCTCGTATCTCGGTCACACGTTACACGCTTTTCTCCTTTTTTTTTGTTTTTTTGCTTTTTCTGTTTATTTTGTTTTTGCCTCGTTTATTGACTTGGCCATTTTATAGGCAATTTGTCTTTTGGCTGGCATCGATAACTTCTGCCATGTGTCATAAAATTGCGCGCCAAGCGACGAACGCGTATCCCCGGTCTTATCCTTATCGGCCAGGACCGGGCTCAGGCATGGACGCCAAGTTGTTTATTTTGTCGTAAATTTGCCTTCAAGGACACGACAACACCCCAAAAGACCTATCCCTTGCACATGGCCATTTTATCGATCACACAATGGGAAATTTCACACGTTGTCCCAAAGGGCTACCAAAATGGTAGGTGTACGACGCCCTATGGCGACTTAATTATACTATTACTAGTACTATTATAAGGAATATTATTGTTATAGAATAGGATAACTCCTTAGAAAAATGCTTACAAATTATTTTTCAATTTAATATCAGTTCTGTTTAAAAAAGTATTCACATTTCTTGGTTTTTATACCATAATTCCTAAATTAAGAGGTTTACTTTCTTAAAATTCTATTGAAATATAAATCCAATACTTTTTATCAACAACTTACCACTGTGAAAAAGAAAACCTGGTCTAAACAGTTGCGTTCCACGGCGCTCGGCTTTAATTACGCTCGCTGCAATTGGCAACTTCAAGGTCGTTGCCGTCCGGGCTCTTGGCCCTTTGCATAATTAAGGGTCCCTCTTGGAACGCCACCCTTTCTTAGCCTAGCGGCTTCTAGTGGCTTTTGTTCTTTCTGCCCTGCCTCTGAATAATGCAATTGACGCCGGCGTGTGGGCGCTGACACAGTTGCCATTTTTCACACATGACCGAACGGCCAATCCACTCGGGCGGACGAGCAACATGCAACATTCAGCCCATGTCCGGCAGTGTGGCGCAGATTTCATTGCATACTCCAAGGCTGGCCGTGGCCGCAGTCTAATTTACATGCCAAATGACGCTGTTCTCGCCAGCTGCCTTACAGTTATGGCCCGTGACGTATAATTGCTTGCCTTTCCATCCTTTCTTTTCGCCTTTCTTTCAGTGGCGGCCGCTTTTGTGTTTCGGGACACGTATTCAATTAGTCCGATAACAAAAAAAAGAACAAAACGTTGCAGCTGCTTGTTGCCCACACATTTGCATGCAAGACAGTTGTTTGAGTGTGGTTGTGAGTGCACTGAGAAGAATAAGAAGTGAATTAAGCAGTAGGGAGGATATAAAATCCACTTTTCCACAATACTTTTCCACAATCCACAATACTTTTATTTTCAACTTTTATGGGTAAAGTACTTTTATTTCATTATTTGTGTTGAATGTTCAAGGTTAAGGTTGCATGATATTGTAGGGCTATTAAATACTAAAAATCTTCAATATGCACATCTTATTAATTAATAATATAATAATAATTGAACATTGCCTTTCTAAAAATCTAACCAAAAATAATGTAACCTTTAAAAAAAATTCATAAAATCATATCGTTTTTGATTTATGACCACAACGTGCTTAGAATTTCGCAAATGATGCTTCGTTTTTGCGGCATTAACAAAAGATATTTGGGAAAGTAAAGATAAAATGTTTTTTGGCGTCTTTGACAAAAAAACAACAAGCAAAAAGTCGAGACAAACAAAAAGCGTTGCTATAATTAAATGTCTCAAAAAAAAACAAAAACAAATTTTAATGTTCGTATATTTTGAATGAAAATCAAAGTCAACGAATTAATACTCTATAAAAAATTATGTTCTAAACTTAATAAAAATTAGAGGACTTATAGAATCCAAAAAAAATGTATATTTATTATAAATATTACTTATAAAAATTATTTATTTTCTCAAACTCTTCAAGAAATCAAATATTCCCCAAATAGTTTTCTTTTGTAGAGAAAAACAGAACTTAGCCAAATGAATCGAAAACATTGTGGCTAAAACGGCCAAGAAAAACAAAACAAGCATTTGGTCGATGGCCGATGACCAGCCTAAATGGACACACCCACTCCCACCAACCCTATTTCCAGGCCATTTTCCGTCCATAACGTTTCCCTGTCACCTCCTTCACGCAACCACAAATCGCAACTTTCTGTTTGGACTGCGTTGTTTTCCTTTTCGTTCCGGCCATCGTCTAATTAGTTGTGGGCAGTGCCCGCCTTGATTTATATTCTTATGATGGGCGTGGCCAGTGGGGCTAGTGCCAACTAATTGTCGCCATTGAGCGGGGCAGGTCCTTTCCGCACACTACCGCCAAGGGTAGTGTTAACCGCAAAGAGTATCTATTGCCAGCAGATGCAGATACATCTCAGTCACGGATACATCGTTAAGTAGTGCGCATTTGTGCAGCTGCAGCGGACAAATTGCTGAAATGTCACCCAGTCCTTGTGGCCGCCATCTCAATCCCGACCAGACTTGGCAGCTCTTTCAGCGTCAGTTTGCACATTCAGCCAATAAATTGCAAATGAAATACTAGTAACAAGGCAACGGATATGCTTGATTGTACAGAGAGAAAAATCTAAAAGGTGTTGGTATAGGAATTTAATATTCTAAAAAAAATATTTTGTTCATATTTTAGAAAGATAAGGTTTTTATCTATTTAATAATATTTTCAAGCTTATATGAAGCTAATATAATAGTGAATAGACTATACAGAGTTGAATAGAATATGCGTCTTTAAAAAATACACGATATAACATTTTATATAAAATAGTACTTCACTAAGTCATATTTAGTTAGTTTCTTTAGAATCAAAAAATAAACAAAATGGTTATATCTTTGATGAGGTAACTCAGTTTTTAAACTATATCATACCTGGTACCCTTCTTATCCATGCCATACAGTTGTTCTAATTAACTCATGAAGTAATTACCTTTCCACCGTTCATAAGGTATTTACTTTTATTATTACTTACTAAGGTAATTAGGGTAAATTAAGATCATCTATTACTGGTATAATTAAAACTCTTAAAACCTTTTTAGCCAATATTTCTCTTAGTGTATGCCACAAAACCGCCGAGTCATATCCTCATAAAGACCCCCGTTTTGCCATTGGCCTTATCCCTATTTCCCTTTGCTTATCAATCAGACAGCGAATAACAGCAACAAATAAACAAGTTGCAACCATTTAAAGCGTGGCAACAACAAACACACTCAGAAGCCACCGTCAGCAGTGGCAGTGGCAGTGGCAGCGTGGCAGTGCGGATGACAAATTGATGCATTGCCGTATTGATTGCCCGACTTTGGCGCTGCCTTGGCTGAATGTCAAGTCTCAGCATTGAAATGAAATTCGTGTTGTTGCTGGCGCTTTTTTTTATTGATCGATTGTTCGGTATTTGATTGTGTTTGTGCAAGTGTGAGTGTGTATTTGTGGGAGGCTTATAAGTATGTGGGGGCGAGCCGGTATCAGGGGCCGATACAATTGTCCTTAGTGCCGTCGAGCGTCGAGTGCCGCAAGTCTTATTTATTACGCATACGTCACGTTGCCGATGGAAGGGCAGTCCCATGACTGTGACCTTGCCGATTCTGCTGGCGTTTGCAGAAAACCCCTTGCAAGCGCCCGAAATTCGCTTTCGTACACTTTTCGCGGCTCCTTCCAAGGGGGAAATCAGAATTAGCGAAGCATCCATGCGATGACAAAAATCCAGAGGGGAATAAAACTAAACACGCGCGCGTCGCCAAGTCGCTGTTTGCCATTGGTGGCTCTACTTTTTTTCATTCCCTGCCCTTCGCTCCGTCCACGCCCCTTTGGCCCGCTTACCATAACCAATTCGACGCCCTCGCAACGCAAAATTGGCCCAAATAAAAGCATTGCGTATACGACATGTGGTACGGCATTTCACAATGCGGTTTATGGCCATAACAGCGGGTAGCACGTGAATTTAAGTTGGCCCTATCACGCACCCCCCGCCGGCATTTCATTTTAGGACGAAAAAATATTCAGCACATTTCATAGGGAAATTGGTATTTTTTTTATAGCCTTCATTCTTCAGCGAACCTATTATTAGGGTCTTGCTTATTACGACATGGCCGAGTTTGTTTGGAGATTGCAATCATAGTCTAGGTTATGGTTTTGAAAAGGAAAGAGGAGCTAGGGCTCTAGACCCCAACATTTATTAAATTTAATAAATATTTATACATAATCTCCATAATTTACATAGATGCTAAAAAATAAATAAAACCGCAATTCAATATCAAAAGTTCTTTTTGGAAAACTGTTGCTTGTTAGAGAAAGTTTCCCCCTTTAATTGCATTTTCCTGCAGGCATTTTTTTGGCATTTGGGTTGACAAAAGTTTGCGGCCAAAAGTTTGCAAGCAACAGGCTGCAGGGCAGGCACACTGCAAAGTCCTTAAGCCAACGAGTGACAGGAGCTGCCAAGTCTCCAGGTCCCAGGATCCCCCAGGCCCCTGAAAAAGCGCCTGCAGGGCCCACAGATTTTAGCCATATGCGACATTTGACATGCGTAAGCATAAATTATGCATTCGCCCTCCGAGATGCACAAGCAGGTGGCAAACGTAAACAAGACAAATAGAATGGCTGGCAAACATAAAATACCAGCCAAGGTGAGGTCATGCTTATGTAAAGACGCCGCCACGTGGACGAAGGCGACGATGACGATGACGTGGCACCCACCCGCAGCAGCCTTGCTGCTCCTCCATCGCCCCTGCCGCCTTGTCCTGCCAACAGCCAACGTCATCAAATGAGTATCCTTCTCGGTGCTACTCAGCCTGCAGCTCGCCTTGGCCTTTGTTGCGGTGTTTCGCAATTTGTTTTAAACTCGTACCCAGCCAAAAGTTTATTTATAGCGCCCCGAAAGCTTTTCTTGTGCCCCAACCACTGCACTTGCCACCCGGCCACCTACCTGGCATTTAAATACGAGTTTACGGCCATATTCAGTGGGAGACCCTGTGACATGTTCGCTGGGTTTTCCTATTTTATTGCCTTTCTCTGGCGGTGGGAGCTTCTTTTTCTTTTCCAAGTTGGGATGAACATGTTAGGATTACATATTTTATGGTCTCGTAGAATGAAAGATCTACAAAGCGAGAAATAGGCCAAAAAAAAGTTTAAAACTAACAACTTTTAGAGGAACTTTAAGATTTAAAAGCAACTAACAGTTTAGACTGTCTTGTAGTTGGTTGGTATACAATTAAATTCTATTGCCTTCTAAAACTATTGATTAAATATAAAATAAATGATGTAACTAAAAAATATTTTAAACTGAAACTTAAGAGTTACTTAAATATGAACCCCTTTCCGGCCAACTTTAACCAGCAGACCGGTACCATGCCATGCTTTTTTTAAATCCCGCCATAATGAGCCGCCTGGCGTCCCAGTGGCAATCAAAATCTCATCAGCTTGTTAGCAGAGCTCCTCTCCTCGCTTCCCCAAAAACGAAAAACAATGAAAATATTTACATAATTAATCACAGGACCGCGCTTATTGATTATCCTTTCGAAGAGAGAGAGAGAGCCCGAGAAAAGGGGGTTCACTGAACCCATTTCTCATATCCGGGCCACTTATTATGCGGACCCGATTCGACGGCTCTGGCAAGCAGCTCGGGCTCCGGCTAAGTTGGCAGCAATAACAGTTATTTGCGGTAATTGCAGCCCGGACAACGGTACTCGAGTTGATTTGAATTGGTCGTTGTAGGCGGGAAGTCATTTGCACAAACGATGTTCCTCGCCGACCATCATCAGCTGCAGTGGCTTACGTAATGATTGACAATCAGGTGATGGAGCCTGGTTGGGTGAAAGGGTTTCGCACTCAGGTGGCTAGTGGCTAGTGAGAGAGACTAATGCAATACATTGATATTTATCACCTGGCCAGTGAGTGACTGTCTGGCCCGAAGCGTTACCCAGTTATCGTTAATTAAATTACCAAGTCGAGCGTATTCTGGCGGGGAAGATGGCGCAAATGACAAACTTGTTACCCCGCCCACCGATGCCACCCGGTTTTAGTGTGTAGAGGAGCCGACCCCCGCTGCCGTCTAATGGCGTTTGATAATGGTGTTTGTATTTGTGTTTGTGTCTGCGTGGAAAATGGCACGATGACGTAGTAAGTGATGCTGATGGATGTGGATGCTACAGTGAGTAAGAGGTTCCCATTAGGGGTGGCTGAAAAGGGTCCTTTTTGTTGCGACAGGAATTTAAAAAAAAAAACTAAAATAATATTAAATGAAATCTTTGAAAAACAATGAGAATAACTAATATTAGTCTGAGTTTTTAATCCAAAATGTCCTAATATTAAGGTATAACCGCTGCAGTACTTCAAATATTTATTAAATCTTTAATCAAAAAGCCAAACGGGCACCCCGTTCTTAGTACTAGTCCTATTAATACAGCCCTGAGTGGGCGTGATCGATGGTGCTGGTCCATAAATAGCGCCCAAATGGAAGAGGAGACGGGGACCCTTGAGATTTTTAACAGTTCCAGGCTCTCGAGAGGCGAGCGCAGTTTGAGCAGCAGAAAGTGACAGCTATGGCTCTCAAACTGTGTCAAGTGGCACGGCAAAGTGGGTCATTGCAGGCGGGAAATGTGGGTAAGTGGGGTAGAGTGGGGTGGGCAGGCAGGCAGGCAAGTGACGGGCCCAGGATAAGCACGCTTATGTAAAGCGTTTGTGCAGCTAAAAGGCTTTTTCCGCCAGCTGCCGTATGTGGGATAATTTATTGATTGGCTCAAGATGGAAAATTGTGTAAACTATTTATAGAGCGCAGAAGGCATTCAATTGTTCCCTTTGTCCTTGCAGATGCGCACAATTAGCTTAAACTGACGGCAGGACAACAGCAGCTGTGGAAACAGGAGCGTGGGAATGGATATGGGCATGGAAAGGACGAAGACCTGCTGCAGCAGCTAGAACAGCTAGAATTTACAAGCAAAAGGATAATCACAAACACCAAGCAGCGAACCACAAACAAAACCAAACAAAAGACACCAACCGACAAAACTGAAATACTACAGAGAACTCTAAACGAAATATTTTAAAAATACTTAAATGTAGCACAACAGAAGCCTTACAAAACAACAAAACAATTTGTGCTGTGCTTTAATTATAGTCAGAACTTAAAAACCATAAACCCCAACAAGAACAGCCCCAAACTATAAAGAAAAGATATCTAGAAATCGCGTAATTATTAAATATTAAATAATAATAATCATTATTCTTCCATTTGAGAGTTTGAAATGTGTACATTTTTAAATCCATATTTAAACTAATAGAAAATTATTAATACTTAAAATATATATACAGAGCAAATAACTTGTAATCGTTCGATAAACAATTCATTAGCGTTGTGAAATTAATTAAAATCGAGAAGAAAACACGGTTAACGATCCTCTAACTTGAAACCAATTGTACGCAATTAGTAGATTTTAAACCTAAAGATTTTAATCCAAATTTTAAAAACGAGCTTCAAACCTACTACATACGCTAGGCCGCGGCACACCGAACGTTATCCTTAACCTTAACCACGGCTGCAGGAGTGTGTTTATACAATCAAGTCGCCCTCACGGCGTCGCCAAAAACCCTTGGCTCAGCGCCAGCAAGTAGGCAGCACAAAATTTATACAAATTTGGCGCCAGCAGGAGAAATAGAAAGGAGAACACAAAAAATACAAGCAGAATAAAAAAGTGAAAGCAGCGCCAAGGACTCCGACGACCTTCGCGTGTGCAAGCGTCGTTGCACAATAAAGGACGCCACTCACACACACCTGGAAAAAACCCACACTAGCACGCAGAGACACACTACAACACACCGACACACCAGGCACACACACACACACCGACACAGGACTATTGCATGGGCGGCCGCCATGACCGGAAGTGAAGTACGGTCACGTCCACGTCCACTGGCCTTTGCATAACAATCAGCCCGCGAAGGAGCCGTGAAAAAGGAGGAAAGGACGACAGGGATCCGCCGCGTCACAAGTCGGAGAAGGACAATAGCAAGCACTTGCCCAGGAGCGCCACTTTCACCTGCTGCGGGCCGCAAAAATGCAGGAAATGAGCTACCTACAGGATAATTCCAAGCTGGAGGCCCTCACCAAGGCGGTGCTCATCTCCATACTGGGCGTGGCCATAGTCCTGTCCAATCTCCTCATCATCGCCACATATGCCAACTTCAAGGGTACGTAGATTATTTCGAAGAGAATGGTTTCTACGGTTTAAAGGTTCTTCTTGCAGGCGTTTAGGTTTGATTCATATTTATACTTATAAATATATACATATCATGATATATTTTAAAATCTTAAATATTTTGCCTTAAAAAAGGGCATAATAATATTTTTATATTAGTGGTAGAAATCCCTGAAATACCTTATTAAAGGCATGTTATGTATACTTAATCTTTTATTTTCGATTTAGGTTAGGGGATGATCTTAGAAATCTATATCATATATTTTAAAATTATACCCCATTTCAGATTTTTTTATCCTAAAGTAAACATGACATATTTAATATGAAGACTTTTCGTTTTATATAAATACTCTATACTTATTTCCAAACCATAAAAAATATTTTCAAAAACTCGTATTGATTTTTTTAAATAAAAATAATAGAACATACATTTTAAATTTCAAAATTTTGAAATATATAGAAATAACTGTGCATGACAAATGAAACCAATTATTAACACAGAACCCCACTAGAGCTATGCCTTTTTAATCCGGATTAGAAATAGATTAATATTTCCTCTTCCACAGGTCCCACAGAGGTGATAAACTATTACCTACTATCCCTGGCCATAGCCGATCTTCTGTGCGGCCTGCTGGTTGTGCCCTTCTCCGTGTACCCCGCCCTCACCGGAGAATGGATGTACGGCGACATAGTGTGCCGCTTTACGGGATATCTGGAGGTGACACTGTGGGCGGTGTCCGTGTACACCTTCATGTGGATATCGGTGGATCGGTATCTGGCAGTGAGGAAGCCACTGCGCTATGAAACAGTGCAGACAAAGACACGGTAAGCCTAATATACTTATATACCATTTGAGGTGAAACTTATGCCACTTCCGTGTAATTTATTTAGCTGCCAATGCTGGATGGTGTTCACCTGGATATCCGCCGCCCTGCTGTGCTGCCCTCCCATCCTGGGATACTCGAAGCCGATCGAGAACAATCTAACCCACATCTGCATGCTAGACTGGGGGAACATGGCGGCTTATAGCGCCACTTTGGCGATTTTAGTGTTAGGTCCCAGCCTCATTTCGATCGTACACAACTACGGCTACATCTTTGTTATGATGCGTAAGATTAGGTCCGGCGAGCCAATACACGATAAAGAATATGCAACTGCTCTGGCTGAAAATTTATCGAACCCTAGTCATATGATGTCATTCGCATTAGTCTTTGCATTCTGGGTGTCCTGGCTGCCATGGATCTCGTTGCGTCTGTATGAGGTGGTCACGGGCGACGTTATACAAAGTACTCTTATCAATTTCGCCGTCGTCTGGATCGGCATATTGAATTCGTTTTGGAAAATTCTAATCATGACCAGTATGTCGCCGCAATTCCGTATCGCTTTGAGAGTATTTTGCTTAACAATTTGCTGTAAGACTAAGGGCCGTTTGCAAGCAGAGCTAATCGGGTTGGACCCAGATGACTAGAGTTAGATTTAGATTTTCACTCTCCCTTAAAAATATATATCCTATCCGTATCCTCCAACCGCTAAAACCGAAAACCGAAATCCTCTATCCAAAAATCCAATTAATTAAAAAAATCCTGCAAGTAAAAATTGGTTGTAATCGCATTGAGCCATCTCTTGAACTCTCTCTCTCTTAACTAAACACTTACTTGCCTGTTGCCATATAGTTGCATATTTACGGCCCGTTTGGCACTACGCGGCATGCCAATGAAAGCACCACCACAAATACGTATACAACCACCCAACCACCATACAGCAACATACAGCAACATACAGCGTATTACAGCAACAACACAGCCACACAGACAAGTTGAAAGACATATTCATATTTCTAGAATCTAAGACCGTAAGCTAAGCTAAGAGTTTTTAGCGTATCCAATTATGATTGATTGAATTGTATTGAATTGAATTGATTGACGATTGATTATTATTGTGTATTTATGAGCTTATCACATATATACTTGTACTTAAATCTAGCCATATAGTTTAGCAGCGACAATTCTAGACAATTCACAACCAGAACTACAGCAAATACCGCAGCCTTCAGCTGCATTTCCGTTTCCGGTTAACAGTTCAAACTTGCTAGGCAGAAATCATAAGCTACTCGGCTAAGTAACTCGAAATCTTGATAGCAGGATAATTATCTAAATAATACTTAAGTATATACCTTTTTCAAAGTCCATATTAAGTAGCATTTAGAATTTTACAAGAATTGTGTAGAGTCGATTAAAAAACAGTTTGCCAAACTTGATGGGGAAGTCGGATCGAATCTTCATAACGAAGAGATCTAGTCCCAAAAGTTCGAGTATATTAAACTTGTATAACTCTGCAAAATCAAACCCTAAAACCAAACATTTCCAGTAGTTCTTAGCAGTAACTGAATAATGTAATGAATACCAAGTAACCCGATGGCGGGAAGAAAGTGAGATCACTTAGGCTAGTGTATAGTTTCAATCGTGGCTAAATCGGCGGATGAATGGCGTTTCATTTGGCCGCCCCTGAAGACTCCGACCTGGCCGGGTGCCCAACAGACTGTTGCAATTTTGCCTAGTTCCCTTAGTGGGTTAAATTCAGTTTCCCAGGCCCGGCCAGCGGGGCATCCAGGGGCCGATTCGTGTGTTTGTTGTTATATATTGTTGATGTCATGACAGATGTATTATCCGCAAACATGCCAAATGCGAACAGACGAAACATTGTGTATATTTTGTTGTTGTACATTTCATTGACGATCTTTTGTACATTTAGTTTTAAATTAATTTAAACACCAAAGCAAGTGTTATCGATTTTTAAGTGTAAGAAATTGTTAGAGCCGTGTAAGCAGATAGAACGGGCGTTTGGTAATTATAAACGAAGAACGCAGTAAATAAATGCAAAAATGACGATAAAAAATGGTTTCTTTAATCAACGTTAAGCTTCCTGAAGGATCCTTCTATGCCGAATAGGCCCTCAAAGTCGATGGGTTTCCCGGGGCGGAGGCTTTCGTCGGTTCCGAGGTTGGCGTTGGCCTGGAGGAAGTCGGAGTAGGCGTCCATTTTCTTCTCCCACTCCGCCACTATTTCCGCCGCGGAACCGTTCTCGCCACCATACTCCTTGGGCAGGTACTTCAGAGGGATCTGTTCGGTGAGCAGGTCCATCTTGTTGCCGTGCACGAAGAGACGTCCCTGCATCTTCTTGGACATCAGAGGCTTGAAAATATTGAACATTTGTTCGAAGCCCGTGATGGTGTTTATAAAGTGCTGGGATTTAACGCGGAGCGGCAAGGCCTCCTCGGAAAAGATCGTAAACTTCTTGGCCATGGCCGGGGTCATCTGGAACAGGTGAGCGGTGGTGGCGTCCTTCATGTCCATTATGAAGACTACACCGTTGATTATGGCATGGTCGTCCTCCATAATGGCGATTTCCTGCATGGCCTGGGCCACCTGCATGCACTCCAGCATGGTGTACTTCTCGACAGGCACCAGACCCATCCGCCAAATGCCAATGCGGGGTCCATTCTCATTCAAAGGAGTAGGCAAATAAATGATTGCTCTGAAAAGTTTAAAAAAGTGGTTTATTAACACGGAGAGACAAAAGTATTATTTATATCCTGAATTCTGGGCAAGATTTAAGGAGTTTTAATGGAAACGAAACCTAATCTACATTGAGTTTCCTGAAGGAACCTTCGCTCCCAAATAAGCCCTCGAAATCGATGGGTTTCCCCGGGCGCAGGCTCTCGTCAGTGCCGTATTCGGAATTTAAATTCAAAAACTCGGTGTATTCGTCGAATTTCTTCTCCCAAGCTGCCACCAAATCCGGGGCAGATCCGTTCTCGCCTCCGTACTCCTTTGGCAAGTATTTCAGTGGAATCTGGTCGGTAAGCAGACCCATCTTGTTGCCATGCACGAAGAGGCGCTCCTGCATCTTCTTGGACATCATTGGCTTAAACATGTTGAAGACTTGCTCGAAGCCCGTGATCGTGTTAATGAAATGCTGGGCTTTCGGCCGCAGCGGTAGGCCCTCCTCCGAGAAAACCGAGAACTTCTTGGCCATGGCGGGAGTCATCTGGAACATGTGGGCTGCCGAGGCGTCCTTCAGGTCCATGATGAAGATCAGCCCATGGACATTGGCGTAGTCATCCTCCATAATGGTTATCTCCTGCATGACCAAGGCCACCCTCATGCACTCCAGGACGTGGTACTTATCCGCAGGACAAAGGCCCATGCGCCAAATTATTATGCGAGGTCCGTTTTCATTCAAGGGTGTTGGCAAAAATAGTATCGCCCTATAAATTAATATTTTTCAGAATATAATAGAAGACTTTTTCCATCCATATGCTCTGAATTCAGGATAAGATAACTTGTACCTTAATTATATCGGATTTTAATCGCTTTACTAGGTGACGTTGCCAATGCTTACCCCGTCTGGTGAATCTCTCGGAACTTGCCCTCCGTCGTGCTGGTAACTCGGAAGTAGTCCGGGTACTTGGTTCGGAGTGTGTAGAACTTGTCGAGCTTGGACTTGGCTCGCTCCAAGCTGTACTTGCATCCGCGGAGAAAGGCCACCAGGAACTGATCATCCATGCGCGGATTTAAGTGAGGTTGCTGGTCGATCCACGTCTTGAAGGCCTGCAGATCGGCCTCCAGACGGTCAGGATCTTCCTTCAGCTGCTCGATGGCCGCTTTTTGCAGCTCCGGCGTGAGTGGACGAATTTGGGGTGCCATTTTCAAGCGCACAAGTGGACTATTCAACGTTTCTTAGGGCACTACCTGGCCAATCTACGTTCTATTGATGGCCGATTTTAATGGGGCTTTATCAGTTCCTGATAAGGGCCGATTGGCGCTCATAAACTAAACAAAGACGAGCAGTGTGCGAAACCTTAATGATAACGTAAGTATTTCATTAGAATCGCGACAATTAAAATAGCCAAAACTGAGGGTATCCCTCCTTATCATTTTGAAAAAATAACGAACTTTTATTAGATTTACTTCTGGAATGGATAGTAATCCAGACCAGAGTTGTAGTTGTATTTCTTCTTTTGGTTCTTTTTAGCGGCTTCAATGAGCTGTTGGACATCTTTCCGGTATGCCGGCGGCAGCATCTCCTCGTGCAGGGTGCAAGGCTGTTGTTCGGGCTCCTCCAGCTTAAAGATGTAGCGTCGGATAATGTCTATGTCGCGGCCGAACTCCTCCTTCAGATCGGCTATTTTTGTAGGCGCCGTGTCGAAGGCAATTGTGAAGTGTGTGCCCTCGCGGTGGACCACGCCGTGCTCGCTTACTTTGTGGGGTAGTGCCCGAGATCCCATGTTTTCCAGCTTGCGGATTATGCCACCCTTGTCCAATATGGATTCAGCGGTTCGCTTGATAACCGAGACCAGTTCGTTCTAGGCGTAAATACAAAAATTACTTTATCTTTATATAACAAGGTATGCATATTTGTTTTCAACTTACACGCGGCAATTGGCGCAGCACGAGGGCTAGTTCGTAGGAAGGCATCTTAGCTGCTGGACCCAGTAAGCTGGTTAATGACTTTTTTTTAATAATTAGGGCTACAATTAAATAGTTTTAATTCATAAATAAAACTTGAAAAATGGTTTGTTGTTCCACGAGTGTTGTGTGTTGTAAAGTGCTGTTGGAACATATGTTTCTGTTGTTTACAGCCGTCAAATTCGCCCTGTTAAGTGGTTGAAAGTTGTTTTCCAACACTTTTTTAATTTGAACTTATCGCACAGTTTAGCCAACAAATTGAATGAAATAAAGTTTTGAATTGCTAAGAAAGTAATAGTGAAACAGTCAAAAATTTAATAAAAGTAAGGCTATCTGGTTCAAAGTCCATAAAAAACTGGCCTAACCGATACGCACCCATGTGCATTGTTTTAAACGTGCTTAAAATAGTATGTTTTTAATTTTAAGAAAATTCATTTTAGTTTCTTATTATTTTGGATTGATACGAGAGGCGCCAAATAGGAACCAGAACCTGTGTTCGTTGAACTAGTTCCAAATTAACAGAGAATCTATGCGGGCACAAATTATATTATTGGGTCTTTCACAAAAGAAACCTCATTTTGAAGGTGTTGACGAAAATTTTTGTTATCGAATTAAATGGCGTTGCCGGATCAAAAAAAATAAACAGCTGATTTTGGGGTGTTGAAATAATTCATTTTATTTATTTCGATAGCTAAAGCATGGAGGGAAAATTGATGAAAGGAAAAAATAGTCGGGCCGAAAAATTTTCGGCGCGCGAGGATAAATTGAAATTAATTAGTGCGGTCAGGGCGAAGCCCATAATATAGGATTTGACCCACAAGAGGCATTTTAATTCTATAAAATGGCATTGAAATGATTTTTGATTGATTTTGATTTTGCCCCAGTTTTCTTTTTCTTAATCAGCTCCTTAGCGACGAAATACATAAAGAAAACACCAAAATCCAATCGGTTTGAATTCATTTTTGCTTATTTGTTTTTTGTTTACAAACAACAGCTGTTCAGTATTACCCTTTTCCTTAATTTTTTTGGTCACACTAGCTCGGTAGCCAAATAAAGTGCGAATTCGCTAGCGGATTTTCGACAGCGGATTTTCGTCGTCAGAGTACTAGGCTTTAGAATATGAATATTGCGCAAATACTTACATTGGCAACCCATGTTACTAATACATGCATATTAGTACATATTAATTGTTTTGAAAATTTTTGTGATCAAAAATGGAGTATTTAAAATCATTGCAAAAAAACAGAATTACATTTTTCAGAAGCTTTTCAAACATGGATCGAAAACAAGCGACTCTTCGAAAGGGGTTGACCATCCTTGAGAGCAATCTAAACTTTGTGATGGTGGACGAAATTTTTCTATATAAAATAAATATGTATATATAAAAATATATATATATTTGTATATTTATAACAGAGTGCTCCGAATCCATTAAATAACTGAAAGACCTTCGCCATAGCAGCATCGAATTTTAAGGGCCATTTGCAAATTATCTATTTGCGAACAGTAAGCAATAAATAAAAACTTATTATTTAAATGAAATTAATTAATTTTTTTTTATAGGAATCAAGTGGAATTGAAAAGATGGGATCGGCTGTAATTTTGCGAGGAATCCAATTGGTCATAAAGCATTAGGAAGAGCGCCAAGCTGACAGACAAATGCGCCGCCAATTTGGAGGCAATTCGATACCTACAGCAGAATGGGGTTCCTGTCTTATACGACTTGGAGCACTTTTGTGGTACAATGGCTCGGCTGGACCACATCGACGAGTTTGCCACCCATCTGTATGCGGTCCCGACATTCTCCAGGAGCAATTGTGCCCAAATCCTGGCAAATTTAAAAAGGCTGGTTGAGGATTCTATTAATTTTATAGAATAATGTAGTATAGTTTAACATTAGTATTGTATAATTTAATTTAATAATTTGTAAAGTTTCCGAACTTCGTTGTTTGCAGCCACCAAATAAAATTGTTCTTGTTCTTTCTTGCTTCTATCTTTCTTATGGTTTATTGGCAACCCTCCAAAAATGGCGCGTCCCAAATTCCCATCCCTAATCTCCACCATTTTTCAAAACATTGCAAATTGAGACTTTCATCATGCAATACTTGAATGAATTAAAAATTATAAGTGATTTGAAAATTCCAGAATCATTTCTGGAATGGTTAAACAAGAGAAAAGAAATTTACAATTTAATTTACAATTCCTGTTGGTCGAAAAACCATTTATTATTATATTTGATGAATTCCATCTGAAACATGTGAATGTAAGTATAAAAATTGTTATATATATATATAATATATTTACTAATTAATATATTTTTACAGAATGCCCCAAATAATATGAAAAACTGGAAAATATTTTCCATAGCAGTGTCCAATTTCGCGGGACACTTGAAAATTGTTTATTTGCGAGCGGTAAGTACAATAGTTACTTAATTTTATTAAAATGAAATTAATTACAATTAATTACATAATTACATACTACAAAAGTAGGCATCAAGTGGCATCAAAAAAATTGGATCGGCTGCCATTTTGGAGGGAGTTAAAATGGTGGTAAGCAGTATACAAAAGGAGTCCTTGGTTTTATTAAAAGGTGGTCAAAAGAATTTAAAACCCCTGTATAACCAAAACATTATTCATTTCTTTGGTCCGTCCTATACTGGAGTACATCAGGACCGCATAGAATCCGTACAAAAGAATTTCCTAACTTTTTCACTTAGAGGTTATGAAACTGAGATGCAAATCTTCACCTTCCATCTTATAATAGTAGACTCTTACTCATAAACTTACCTAGCCTAACAAATCGTAGGACAATGCTCGGTGTAGTCTTTCTGCATAACCTTATTAACGGGGATGTAGATAGCCAGCATTTACTAAAACGCTTAAAATTTAACATTCCTAATAGAAGGACTCGAAACTTTAGTCCTCTGTTCCTTAGCCGTTGTAGTTCGACATATGCACTGCATGACCCTTTTAGGGTATTATGTTCGAACTACAATAGTCTCTACTCTATTACATCTCTTTCCTGTCCCTCAAATTTAAAATATAGAATTTTAAATTTCCTTACTAACTCCTCCTAGCTTAATAAATTACAAATAGCTTAATATAATCTAACAAGTCGTTTCTTGAGCGCCTCTCGGTCGTCTGGGCCTCTAAGCTTTATGATGAATACAGGAATGCTAGCTGATGCTCTTATTGATGCACAAGCCATTTCCAAATTCTGAAAGACCGGAAAAAAGAAATATTACACAACCAGTTGAGCCAAATTAAAGGCACAAGATTAAAAAAAAAGAAAAAAAAAAAAAAAAGCGGGAAGTCAAGCGTTTGGCGAGCTGTTCAACAGCTGTTGACAACTGAATGGGAATGGAGGGAAGGCCGCGTTATATACCGTTTTTGGGACTAAAACAATCCCCATCCTCATTGCAACATGCATCTGGTCACACTGCTCGAAGGGCTTTCTTTTAATGCACTATGGGAAATTTGGCCGATTTCATGGTATCAATTAATAAATTTTAAACTAAGTACGATTTTTCGAAACGGTTTTTTTTATACCCTTGCAGAGGGTATTATAATTTTATTAATTAATCACAAAATCAACTTCGAGGGTAGCCTAGATGGTTCGACTTCATTAGCGGGCGGTTGTTTAGATTTTGATAAAGTTTTAGTTTTATGATTATTTTTATATTTACTTTTATTTTTTTATTATTTTTTTTTTTTACTTTTAATTTTTACGTTATCATTATTATTTTTAATTGCATTTTATAACAATTAAAGTAAAAATAAGTGACGGACGGGTCGGATGACAAAATGCCGGAAGGACTCCCTTGAAAGAAAAAGTTCAAAGTCCTTCCGAGGATTTGAACACAGAAAATTTACACATAGAGTAACTACTCTATGCATTACGCTACCATCCTGTCTCGATCTGCGGCGATCAAAAATACTATTTGTTCTACCAACTACCACATCGGCGCATCGAAAACAGAAACGAGAAATTTAAATTTAAATTTGGAAGCCAAAACATTTTTACTCCGTCGTGCGAGCAGTCAGAGTCAGCAGACGGGTACAAAATAGAATCGTATGCATGTGCGTTTCCCCCCTCACCAACAAGCTAGAAGAAAAAAGTTGACCGTTTTGGGCCCTGATGTCCCATCTATGTACTTTATAATCTTTGCCCTTACCTAACACCATTCATTTTCCAAAACCATTCCAGAGTGAGAATTTCAGTGGTAAAGATGGAGTGCGTGCGATCGTTGGAATGCGTTCTGCAAAATAACATTCCAGAAGAATTTCTGGAATGGTTATTTAACGCAAAAATACACTAGAGAATGGTTACGCCATAATGGAAAGCAACTTGAATTACATTATGGTCAATGAACCATTTTTCATTATATTCGACGAATTCCATATACGAAATGTCACTGTGAGTATAAAAATTTTAATATATATAATATATATACCATATATATAATGAAATTTTACATAATCCTCCAGATAATATGAGAAATTGGAAAATATTTGCCGTTGCAGTTTCCAATTTCTCAGGACATATGCAAATTGTTTATTTGCGTACGGTAAGTACAATAATTACCTATTTCTATTTAAATGAAATTAATTTAATTTTTGTAGGCATCAAGTGGCATCGAGGTAATGGGATCGGCTGCCATTTTAGAAGGAGTGCAGATGGTATTGGCCAGTATCAATAAAAGGACCCTTCTTACCTCCACATTGGTAGGTGCGGTGGCGGATAAATGCGCCACCAATCTGGAGGCAATAAGATACATGCAGAACCGTGGAATTCCCGGTTCTGTATGATTTGCAGCACTTTCGATCGACTATAATGCGTTTGGTAACTTTGGATCTTTTCGCAAACCGTTTATATACTAATCCAAGTTTCACAAAACAGAATTATTTGAGAAACCTCTCGAATTTTGAACGGTTGGGGGCGGAGAAAGTGCCCTCCCCATTACACGACCGTTACAAAGAGGAGGTAAGTTTCGCACAATTAATAAAGCAAACATTTTATTTATTATTTTCTTTAATTTTAGCTTGTTTCACTCGGGTGCCTATTTGGTAATCTGTTCAATCGATTCCCAAATAGGACATTCAGTCTGACATTGGTAAATTCCAATTACATGGAAGAATTGGGCGCCAAGCTGGCCCATGATGTCCATCTTGCGGCAGAGGAGGGCTTCGCCAAATTCCCAGAAGCCCTCGCCGATCCAAAGGAGGCAGCTGCCTTCATGGCAACATTGGCAACGATCTTTGTCCAGAGAATTCACAAAGAACTTAAGGAAATGTAAGTATTTATATTATCATATATCATAAAAAATATATATGGGGGAGAATATATATTCTCATTGGGGACGAGCCCTTCTTTTTATTATTTGACGTTTCATGAAGAATGTGAATTTAAGTATACACCACCCACCTTGATACACCCACCTTGTTTTGTATAAAATGTCTATATTTATATATGTATTTCCATCAGAGGGATCCCGCGAATTCGAAGAACTGGAAAATCTTCGCAATAGCTGCTTCGAACTTTGAGGGCCATTTACAGATTATATATGTATTTGCGAACGGTAAGTAGTAAACAATACTATGCACATATTGTGTTTATATACAAATGAAATTCTTTTTTATAGCCATCAAGTGGCTTGGAAAAGTTGGGTTCCGCTGCGATTTTGCAGGGGATCCAACTGGCCCTTGGCAGTGTAAGGAGGAACACCGAGCTGTCCTCCAAATTGGCCGGCGCTGTGGCCGACAAGTGCGCCGCCAATTTGGAGGCAATTCGATACCTACAGCAGAATGGGGTTCCTGTCTTATACGACTTGGAGCACGTTTGTGGTACCATGGCTCGGCTGGACCACATCGACGAGTTTGCCACCCATCTGTATGCGGTCCCGACATTCTCCAGGAGCAATTTTGCCCAAATCCTGGCAAATTTCAAAAGGCTGGTTGAGGAGAATGTACCCCCAGCCTTACATGACCGGTACAATTATTCATAATAATTAATAGAATAATTGCTACGTTGGCAACCCTTTAATGACCGAATATTTACGTATTTGGCAACCTTCTTTTTAATTTTGTTTTGATTTTGATTTGGCGGAACTTTTTTTGCAATTTGTTTTTTATTTTGTATTACAAAATTAAAATTAATTATATAAGAAATTTTTCGCTAAACTTGGAGTTAAAACAAAGTTTTGTTCAGTGGATGGAAAGGAGGGAAGGCACTCTTCGCCAAGGGTTCACCATGATGGAGAGCAATCTCCAATTTGTCATGGTGGACGAGCCCTTCTTTCTGTTATTCGACGAATTCCACTTGAAGAACGTAAATGTAAGTATACACCACCCCACCCACCTATATTTATATATTACTTCAGAGGGCTCCAGCGCATTTAAAAAATTGGAAGATATTCGCCATTGCCGCTTCCAATTTTGAGGGCCATTTACAAATAATCTATTTGCGAACGGTAAGTAATTAACAATATTATGTATTATGTTTATATACAAATTAAATTCTTTTTTATAGCCATCAAGTGGCTTGGAAAAGTTGGGTTCCGCTGCGATTTTGCAGGGGATCCAACTGGCCCTTGGCAGTGTAAGGAGGAACACCGAGCTGTCCTCCAAATTGGCCGGCGCTGTGGCCGACAAGTGCGCCGCCAATTTGGAGGCCATTCGATACCTACAGCAGAATGGGGTTCCTGTCTTATACGACTTGGAGCATTTTTGTGGTACCATGGCTCGGATGGACCACATCGACCAGTTTGCCACCCACCTGTATGCGGTCCCCAAATTTTCCAGGAGCAATTTTGCACAAATCCTGGGGAATTTCAAAAGGCTGGTTAAGGAGAATGTACCCCCAGCCTTGCATGACCGGTACAACCAGGAGGTAAGTTTATCAAAATTAATTTATATGTGTAATTTTTATAATTTTTTTCAGTACTTCCAGCGTCTTGCTTTGGAAGCCCTTTTTAGGAATTTGTTCACCAAATTCCCAACGAGGACCTTCAGTATAAGATGGGTGAACTCCAACCACCTGGAGAGAGTGGGTGCCAGGCTGGCCGAGAAAGCGCACGTCGGTGCCGAGGAAGGATTTGAGAAACATGCAGCCCTTGCCAAGCGAAATGAGGCACAACTGCCCTTAGTCAAATTATTCACAAGAATTTTAGGAGATCCTAAGTTTTTATATATTTATGTTTTACTCCTTTAATATATAATATATATGTATATGATTGTATGAGAATGTGTGGCCCTTAGTTGGCGAATTATAGCTCCGTATATTACCTCCGTATTACATATATATTATTTAGTAATATTATTAGCAATACTATAAAAAAATTAGCAATAGTAAAAAAAATGTACCAAATAATTAAAATATTTTTCATCTGCACACAGTCACTTCGGTCGTTTAGGTTCATATCAAAATTAATATTTAATGAAAAAAAAAAAAAATTAAAACAGAAAGATCTGATTTAAAGCGTCTACGTCGGACGAAGTCGGCCTGCCGACTGTCAACTAGAGCTGGCAAACCATCGATGGTACCATCGATAGTATCGATGGTATGGGGCCAGCTTGCACTATCGATGGTTTGAAAACTATCACGATAGTATCGCCGTCGCATTCCACCACTACTTTTCTTGTGTTTGCGCAGCTAAGCGGTAAGAAACAATTTTATAATTGTAATATAAGATTTATAATAAGCCTTTCTTTTCTTTAGAGTCTAAAGTTTAGACAGTAGACAGTGACTGGTGGTTCTACAGTGGTGCCCGTCTGGAACACTTTAAGCAGTAAGTAGGATGTTAAAAGTATATAAAAGCTTATACTTATTTTTTTTTCAATTTCTTTTCACGTGCTTTAGACATGGAGAAGGAAAATCAGCCCAGCAACATCAGCGAGGATTTACCTGGACCTAGCACAGCAAGAAAGCGCACATGGAAAAGGAGCATGGTATGGGACCATTTTAAAAAGAGTAACGACGGTAAGCAAGCTGAATGTCGCCATTGCCATAGAACATATAAAACCAGTGGCAACACATCAAATCTGAGTGACCACCTCACGCGTGCGCATCCATCTTATCAGTCGTTGGAGAGTGGGCCCACAAGCTCAATTTCCAAATTTTTTAAAGTTGACAATCAGTACGACAGTACGTCCGCTCGTAAGCAAAAACTGGACAAGGCACTGATTAAAATGATAGCCACGGACGTCCAACCACTCTCAATTGTAGAAGACTCGGGGTTTCGCCATTTTGTTAATCTTCTAGACCCTCGATACACCATTCCATGTCGGAATACATTAAAAAATGTCCACATGAAGAATATGTATGCCGATTTAACATCAAAGCTCCAACTCATACTGAATAAAGTGGATCAATGTGCCATTACCATGGATGGTTGGACGTCGAGGGCCAACGATGGCTACCTCACAGTAACAGTACATTTCATTAATGAATCATTTGAGCTGAACGCCGCTGTTTTGTCAACAGAAAAATTGATGGACCCTTTAAACCACAATGCTGAAAATATAGCAGCATCGGTTCGAAATGTGCTCTCTAAATGGAACTTAGAGACAAAAGTAAACGCCATAGTGACAGACAATGCCAGCGCAATGATTAAGTCGTGCGAAATCTTACAAAAGCGTCACTTTCCATGCTTTGCTCACTGCCTCAACCTAGTGGTGCAAGATTGCTTGGAAGAAAATTCAATTAAGCATGTTTTGACAAAATGCAAAAAAATTGTAAAATTTTTTAAATGTAGCACTATAGCCTACGAAAAGTTCAAGCAAGCTCAGGGTGACAATGCATACAGTCTTATCCAAGAAGTAAGCACCAGATGGAATAGTGCTTTTAAAATGGTGGAACGAATATTAGCCACAAAAGAGTTCCTATCGCCCGTTCTCCTCAGCCTGTCAAGAGCACCTGATCCACTGACCGCAGACGACATTGAATTGTTGGAAGACATTCAAACCATTCTGGCACCATTCGACTACGTCACAACACAGTGCTCGTCCAGCTCAAAGGTGACTAGTTCCTTAATTGTTCCTCTGACGAATGGCCTGGTTGAGGGCCTAAATGATCAGTTTGGCAGGCTAAAGACAGTGGATGGACAGCAAGCTTGCCGGTTCTTGCAGGATAGAGCACGGATAAGGCTTTTTCCTTTTGAAGAAAGGTCCACAGCTAGACTGGCCACCATAATGGATCCGCGATTTAAAAAAGAAGGTTTTCGATCACCGTTTAATGCTGAACAAGCCGCCGTTTTGCTAGAGCGCTCCTTATCGACAAACACGATTGCTGGTGCTGATGCTGAGGAAGGGGATTCTCAGGAAACCGCTGTAGAACCACCAGTTACACCAAACGCTGCAGAGCCTCTTCTAAAGTTTCTGTCCTCAAACATAGAGAAAAAAAAAAGGACCAAGAAAGTGGACGTAATATTAGTTATGAGGCATTATTTCGAAGGAATAAACTCTGATATTTCCAGCAATCCACTTGAGTATTGGAGAGTAAGTAACGATTTTTCTGCTTAATTTTTCTACTTTTCAAAAATGATGTTATGTTTTACAGAGCAATGAAAGTGACCAGCCAGCTTTGGCGAAGTTGGCCAAAAAAGCTTTGTGTGTCCCAGCAACTTCAACGGAGTCTGAGAGGATGTTTTCGAAGGCAGGCCAAATAATTTCCGAGCGCAGGTCATCACTAAAGCCAAACATAGTTGACCAGCTCCTGTTCATCAATAAAAATTGGTGGATTACGGAATCTAATATATAAGATAGATCTCAAGTCTAGCGGCTGGACCGCTACTAACGAAGCAACGTTTTTTTGTTTTTGGATATTTTTTTTATTTTTATTAAGTTTAAGTTTATATAAAGTTTGTTTTTGGATTTTTTTTTATTTTTATTAAGTTTAAGTTTATATTAAGTTTGACAAATGAAGTGAATTAAATGAAAACATAAATAACACCCAAACAACTAAAATTCTAAATTTATTAAAATCGAATTTATAAGGAATACCTCTGCTGTTTTGGGTTTTTCCTAAAGAATAAACTCTATACTTCAAAATTTTTTTTTTCTTTCGATATTATCGCGATAGTATCGATGGTTCCCGAAAAAAACCTCGAAAACATCGATAGGGTCACTATCGATGTTTTGCCAGCTCTACTGTCAACGTCAGACAAGTGTTTCATGTTAACAAAGAAGATCTCTGTTAAGTTATAAGCTGTTAAAGTCCACTGTTATTTTCCGATAAAAAAAACCCGCTCGCCAAGTTGCCAGACTTTAAAAACCGATTCGATTTGTTATCGATACGAAAATAATAAGCACAGGGTATGCGACTTTTAAACTCACGAAAGCTTTTTCTCATTAAAAAGAGCTGCAAAATAAATTCGGAAAAATAAGAGGTATGTCTCTTAAAAAAAAAAATTTTTTAATAATTGCGGCTTTATCGGTACCCGGTTCGCTTAAACGGTTATTTGTTTGAGTCAACAATGTGACCGAGCAGAAACTATTTAATTGGACAATTACAAAAATCTATATTTTGGCAAAAAAAAATTAATATTAAACTTAATTCGGGTTGCTAGAAATTGGAAAGAGCCGTATCGATACATGCCTTACAAAGATATCGATAACTTTATCAATGCAAATGTTATTGCCGTCACTAACATATATATATAAACAAAAAAGAATTTTTGAGGCCGAAGGTACAACGTCGCGGACAGTCAGCGAATTGTTTTTCGTTTTTCGCTTTTCGCACGCCCAGAGAAACAAATGCTTGCGTTGTGTGAGTGCGGGGTTCCTGTGTGTGTGTGTTGTGTCGCCAATTTATGACGCATGCCGAAGTGCAAGCGCACATTAAACAACAAATTTGAGAAAATTGTGCTTGTGGGGAAAAATAGTTTTATAGTTGCATTCTGCATAACAGAATCGCGGGCGGAAAAGTACACAAATGAAAACCGATACCCTCGGAAGGGAAAAGAAAACGAAAGAGAGTGCGTGCACTCGGTAATTGTGTTCCATGTGTGTGTATTTCTGCGACTGTGCTGAGTGTTGTGTGCGAAAATTATGTAAAAACAACAATAGAATGCCTGCACTCTAATTCAAAACTCCAATTGCCTCTATTTTTGTCTCAATTATGAAATGAAATGCAGTTGCAGTGCTCCTCTCTGGCTCTCTTGATTGGCCGCCGGACTGCGCCGCCGCTGCAGTAAATGCCAGTGCATAGAATTTTCCTTGAAATATTATTTTAACTAAATTTTCAATAATTTCTATGATTTCAACCCTCTCAGTTTTGTGTCTAAATACCGCCTGAAATAATTATTTTTTCGAAAAAAAAATATCAAAATTCGTTTCTGGTTACCTGCCGCAGTCGGCGTCGCTGCCGGCTTCGCGCTGCACTGACACGTCTGCATTGCCACTCTTTTTTTTATGCTTTCTTACCTGCCCAACCACCAAAAAATGGACTCGAATTCGTCTGCCGAATTGCTCTCTTTCATAGAAAATTAAGCACCGCACCGCACCGCGTCGCGCAACGCTGAAATGGAAATGAAAACCAACAGCCAGCAAACAAAACAACAACAACAACACCACCAACAACTATAAAATTAATTAACCTTTGCGGGAAATTAAAAAAAAGAAAAAAATAACCAAACTTCCAAAAGCAACCAGAAATTCTCATCTTTTTCTTTTGCTTCTCCTCCTCCTCCCTTCGTTCTTTTTCGTTCTCTCTCTCTCTCTACGTCTGTGGATTACATTATCTTCGTTCTGTGGATTATTATTATAACAACAACAACATCAACAACAACGATAACAACAAATCCAACAAACAGTGGCAAGCGGATCTAGAAGAAGCAGCTATAGCAGCAACAACAAACTGGCCGAGTCGGAAAACGCAGCGCAAAACTCCAACAATATGAGTTGGGGTACTGAGCTATGGGTGAGTTCAATTTTAATATATTTTTTTTTAGAGTTTAATGGATATTTTTCTGGTTTTATGTTGGGGGGGAATTAAAGAGTGAGGTATACCAAATTTTAGAGATTTTCCAAAAGCTATTCTTCAGTTATAGGTAGAAAAGGATGAATTTCCTTGAAAAAATCATCATATTCTAATAGAATCTTTCGGTTTTATGCTTTTGGTGATTAAAGAGTGAGGTATATCAAAATTTAGAGATTCTTAAAAAGCTAGTCTTTAGTTATGGGTAGGAAAAGGACTTGTACTCTGGAAATATCACCGTTTTCGGATAGAAAGTTTCTAGTTTTTTGTTAAAATCAATTAAAAAGTAAGGTATACCAAATTTAAGCAATGTCTCACAAGCAGTTCTTCAGTTATAAGTAGGAAATGGTTATATTCTCTTAAAAAATCATAATTTTCAAATAGGATCTATATGGTTTTACATTAGAGGTAATTAAATATTGAAGTATACCTCACATACCAAATTTAAGCAATATCCCGCAAGGTTTTCTTCAGTTATGGGTAGGAAAAGGATGTATTTTCTTGAAAAAATAATAATATTCTAATGAGATCTTGCTGGTTTTATGTCAGGGATAATTAAAAACTAAGGTATACCAAATTAAAGCAATATCCCTCTAGCTATCCTCCAGTTATGGACCAGCTTTTCTTGAAATATCACCATTTTCCAATTGGATCAAAGCATATAAAATGTCAATTAATTATTTCAATGTCATCTGCGGCCTATTGGATAAAAAACCACTCGAACGGGAGTGAGAAATTCACAAATTACTTCCCATAAGCCAAAGTGCAGGCAAAATATTTAAGAACGCGCGCTTCTACCGTCTCTCTACCTGTCCCTGTCCGACTCGCATCCCTCCCTCTCTGTCTAACAACTGAGCTGAAACTTGAAATTTTTATAAAAAAAAAAAAAAACAAACTGGTTTTGCGGGTTTTATGTAAATTGCTGGCTGCCATATGAGACCGACTAGCGTGCGCCCCAAAGCGATATGTTTCTCGGATATATGGATATATGGTGTTTTTGTAGAGGCTTGTGTTCTGCTTTCGAAGGCCCCAATGGGGAGCCACTTGGATGTGCCGGCCAACTTGGACAGCTGTTTTTCTATCCGATTTTCTAAAGAAAAATATTTATTTTGACTGACAACTTTTGAGATAAAAAAGCTTACCTGTCGGCGGGGATTTTAAAATCGAAAGATACTGAATACTGAATTGCTAGCCTCAGCTGCTTTTTTTCCGCCTGTTTAGAGTCTGATTTCGATTCAATTCCAATATCGATGGATTTTATCCTTCTGGCCACCTTTCGGGGGTAGTTTTCCGCACAGACAGCAGCCGGCACACCCTCAAAATGCCAGTGGTTGTAGGGGTTGTGCCTCGTAGGAGTGCCGGTCGGGCTGGGCTGTGGCGGCAGAGGAGGTTCCGCCCAGATGTCAGGACCAAAATTGCAAGTCTAGACAGAATTTTGCAATCTATTTGTACGTTTTTTATCCCCTACTTTTTTTTTGCTTGTCTACCGGATGAGCACACAGCTTAACTACAAAAAACTATCTAATAAATGCAGCTGAAAGTTGGACCAAAAAATGAGAAGAAATGCAAATAGTTTTGAGGAGAAAATTGTTTCTTTTTCAGGAAGGCCAGAGTTCAGGAAACTATAAAATAATCACAACTTAAAAAAACAAAATAATATTTACTCAAGAACCCGGTTGAGAGACTAATTGTTTATAGAGGGAATTCTTGAAGATTCTGTGAGAAACTTAAGAAAAACATCTTCCTAGGTTTTATGGCCCATTGCCCACTATTCACGACTTGGCTTAATGATTCATGCTGCCAGTAGAAACTCAATCACGAAGCATTGTGTTTGGAGGCATTGCGAAAATCGGTAGCCATCCGAATATTATATTATTTATGCCCATAGCTGTGGGTCTGAGGGGCATTTGCATAAGTGATTTGCACGCCACACAAATAAAAGTACTCCCTCGATATGCCACTTAACCCAAAGAAAGTGTAACCAGAAAGACTTTGTTTAATTGAATTTTGTGGCTGGAAAGCTACGATCGACGATCAAAAATGAAAAAATTAAAAAAAACGCAAAGTAAAGTAATAATATTGTACAATTTTAATGCAAAAATCATAGACCCAGAGCCTCCTCGGGTTTCTTGGCTAATAAGCGGGCTACGGCTACGGTGGCTATCGAGCGCGTGGCTAAGCGGGTCAATTGCGGGCCTGCCAGCGCCATCGCTTTCTTTGCATTTTTCAACAAAATTTTCACTTTAATTAAATTTAAAGCATGTGCCGTAGTGGTCTCACTGCTTTGCATATTTATGCAAAAAATAAAGTGGGAACCCACTAAAAAATTACATTAAAATGGTAGTTTTTTTTAAAAGTATTTCGAGTGGCCTGTGTTTGGTTTTTGTTTTTGTTTGAATTGAGTTTCTTTTTTGGGAAACAGCCCCGCCCACGTGCCATCGCTATAGCTCTCTTTTAGATTTTCCCCCAAGACTATAGGAGAGACCTAAAAATATCTTTGTTTTTTTTTTTTTTTTTAAAGAAATTAGTGTTTGTGGTCTACACTCTCGATGGATTTTATTGAATTTTTCATTATATTTTAAAAGTAATTTGTCATTTTTAAGGAAGTGATGAGCTCTATCAGGGCTTCTATCAGGGCTTAGCTTCCAAGATATCTGACTAGCAAGATAGAGAGACTCTCCAGCTCCAGCTCCAGACCTTCCACTTGGAACAATGCCTTCAATGCCATCCTCAAGTGCAGCTGTTCAATGTTTGATGTCGGGCCTTGTTTAAATAATTTCCATGCAATTGCTGATCCCCTGCCACATGACATTGAAGGCCTCCAGAGAGGGCACATTCACCCAAGCAATTAGCAAAAGATCAGTCTCTTATTAAGCCCCAAGTTGGGCAGCTAAAAATATGGCCAGAGACAGACGGCCATAAACAATGTTTATGTGCTTGGGGTGTGGACACACTGTTGCAAGGAACTGCCGGCAGTATGCCTCATAAAATACCAAAAAAATAGACTCGAAGCTCATATATCTTTTCGCAGCAGGTCATTTGGAATGGGGGGAGACCTGGGGGTGAATGGTTTTCCATTTTCCATTTCTAACGTGTCGGCCATGATTGAGAGTCTTGCACCCATACCTTCCATCGTATGGGAAGTGCAACCCTCCTCAAGATGCCTGCCTTGAAGGTTCAGGGTCTCGCCCTCGGGCAGAGATCCAATTAAGCCAAGGCGTCTGCCAGGCTGGCTAGCTGGGGTGGACTCTGGCCCAAGGCCATGTTTCTGGAAGCTGCTTCACTTGTTCACCGTCTCCCCAATAACCAGAAAACGCACCCTATCTGAATCTGATTTGGAAAACCTCCAGCCTCCTTGTTCTTATCGATTTTTTTCAATATGGCCCTGAACATAATCGGAATAGTTTGGCTGACTCAGGGAAATGCCCTGCTCGCCACAGGGGGTTGCGAAAACATTTTCGCTGATTTTGCGACATCCGGATGCCAAGATTTGGCGGCAATCCAGAGCCCAGTTGAAGCTCTAGTACAGTGAGCACTTGCCTAAAGAGTCGCATTCCATTCTACTTCTTGATAGCCTGTCTGCCACATAACTCCCCACCTGATTGCTGATTCTATTCACATCAGTCTGGGCAGTGCATTGCAAAATGAATACTTTTGTGTTGCACGTTCTGTGGCGTCTATCAGCCTTCAGCCAGTTTGTGCCGCCAGCATACTAAGCAGTATTTTGAATGCAAATTGCAACCGTTGGAGTTTGAAATACAAATCGGCTGGCCAGTGCCCCACATGAGAGCAATTATTTACTCCACTTGGTCATAGTTGGGGTTTTGGATCGAAAACACTGCAGCGATAAGAGCGAGACTGACTTGTGGATCTGGAACACGGACTTCCCTTCCGCCCAGACCCGATAAGTTGCCAGAGATATATGAAGGAAGCTTGTGGTGTAAACATTTCAAAGGAATTTCTTGAATTTCTTGAAATAAATAAAATAAATATTTCATATGCAAGCTGTGTGGGGCCATAAACACCTTGGCCTCTCCAAAACAAATCGATTGGCTGGCTGGCTGGCATTCGCGTGACTCACAAGAAGCTGTTTTGTTTATCAAATAGCTGAGGCTGAATCAGCATCATCAGCATTAGCATCAGCAGGTGAGCAGAAATCTCAAATAGTTTTAGTTTTGAAGTAACCTCATTCTAGGTGGAGTTATCAGTTGGTGACTAAATTAAATGAACCTGTTGCTGGTCATAAAGTTCCATATCGCATTCCGCATACAGCTGACTACGAAATCCCTAACAAAGCTTTCATTATCAGTCGGAAGTAGGGGGATTACCTATAGAATAGGGGAGTTTTTATAGTTTTCTAATATAAACTAGGAAATATTTAACATTTACTCTTCAAAGTATTGTAGAGATAACTCCAAAATATTTATACTTTGAGATACAAATACTTTTCTCTATTTTTTGGCCAGATTGTGTAGCCACTCTTCTGGCCAAACTACCTTTGTTGACTAAGCCCCTGGCTAGTCACCGGGACATACCAGTCCTATCAGCAAAGGTTAATGAGTAAATATTGGTTAGACACTAGATACACACTGGTATACTGTGTGGTATCGGTTATGGCGTTTTTTGTTGGCCAACTTGTTGCTATTGGTGGCCCGAATGGGTGTGGTCCGAACCACAAGCTGGCTGCGAAACAAATTAAAGAATTCCTTTTTGGCCAGAGGGACATAAACGAGTAATTGAATCACAAAAGTGGAAGCATAAAAGAGGGCTACGGATCCAGCTTATCAGCTGGGAGGGATAAGAGCTCTTGCCAGCCTGATAAGCACGGTTTTCCGCTCTCCATTATCAACCAGTTCCAGGGATTCACCCTTGACCCTGCCCTGTCTTTTATTTCTTTTGAATTTTCCAACATTTATTAATTAGCTGAAAGATTTATGGCAGCC